GCTCCAGGGTGGGCTTCCTCCCGCGTGTCTCTGGTGTCCCCACCTCCAGTTCCTGCTTGGAGCCGTGGATGGGATCCAGGACAGAGCACGGATGGGTTTCTCCACCTCCCCTCTCACCCTACCCAACCTCTGGCTCTTGGGGGGCTCCCAAAGCCCCGTGATCCCAAATTTCCCCTGCCAGGAGCCTTTAGGACCCTGCAGACACGGCCGAGCCCCCCCGGCAGCATCAGCAGCGCCGGGGGGATGGCGACACCCAGCCCCGCAATTACCCCAGGGCTAATTACTCCTCCGAGGTTAATTAACCGAGCCTTGCAGCTCCGCAGCCTCCCCGACTGAGGGGCCGGCAGCTGCCAAAACAGGAGCAGGAGGGATGAGAGGGACAGGGACCAGGGACAAGGGACAGGGGACACCCCCGCCCGCCACCATCCCCGCAAAAAGCGCCCGGTCACCCTCTGCTCTGGCAGCCGCGTTGCTTCTGAGGTTATTAAATGTGTAAAAATTAAAATAATGTTAAAATTATCGCTTTCGTTTGAAGCGTTTGTTTTTTGTTTGGTCGCCGGGGTTTTTAAGCGGGGGGTGGGGGAGGTCCTTGGCAGCGATGCGGGGTGACCCCATCTCCCCCCGGCGCATTTCCCGGGGGAAATTTTGGGTTATTCCGGGGGGAATTTCGGGTTCATCCCAGGGGGAATTTCGGGTTCATCCCGGTGCAATCCCGGGTTCCTGCGGGGGGAATTTCGGGGGTCGCCCCGCGGTCATTCCCGCTGCGGGCGCTGCCCCCGCTCTGCGGTGCCCCTGCGGCGGGAGGGCGCGCACGGAGGTGCCCGTAAAAAGCTTTTTTCCCTCCTTTCCACGCTTTCCAAAGCTTTTTATTTATTTTATTTTATTTCCCCTTCTCTGGGCGAGGCCACCCCGCCAAGGAGCGGCGGCAGGCGGTGACCCACCCTGCGGGGGGCTCGGGGCTGGCGGGGACCCCTCGGACCATTTTAACTCCTGATCCCTCCCGGGCTGCCCAGGGAGGCTCGGAGGGTCCCAGCAGAGCCCCCCGTGGCAGCAGGACACCATCATCCTCATCACCCTCCTCATCCTCACCCCCCTGCTCCCTCCCTGCCCCCGGCCGGGCGCTGGGGACACGCAGAGGTGACAGAGAGCCCCGAGGCGCTGTCACCACGGGCAGCGTGCCCCCCCAGCCCCGCATCGCTCCCCGCTACTGACCTTGAGCCCCGGGGCCGCGGGGGGAGGCGGGCGAGGGTCGGGGATCCAGCGTCCGGCAGCGCGGTGGGGACAGGACGGGGACAAGGCAGAGGCGACAACTCCCGAGGGTCTGGGGGTGACTGATTTGCCCTACAGCATCTCTCAGAGGTGGGGCAGGGGTGTTTTGGTTTTTTTTTTGTTTTTTTTTTTTTTGTGCTGCCGTCCCCCCCACCTTGCCCCTGGAGGAAGTTTGGCTGGGAGTGGAGCGGAGCAGGCGGGAGGTATTTTTATTTTAGAGCAGCGCTGCAGAGGGGGGTGGCTCGGGAGCTGTCTGTCACGGCAGCTGCTGAGAGAGGACCCGTGCTGGCTGCCAAAGCTCGCCCCGAGCCAGGGGAGCCGGCCCTGGCAGCCCCGGGGCACGGGAGCCCCAGCTCCCTGCCAGGGGGATGCTTTGGGTCCCCTCTTTCAGCCCTGCTAGGCAGGGGTTGTCCCCATCACCTTGTTCCAAAGGGGGATATCACCGCGTGGGGATGGGGAAACTGAGGCACGGAGCCAAAAGGAAGCGTCGTTCCTGCTCGGCTTGGGCAGTGTTTGAATCTGAGTGAGGCTCGGGGGCTGCAGCATCTCCTGCTGCCAGGTGAGAAGTGTCAGCACAAGGGGGAACGGCCCCAAGGTGTGCCAGAGGAGGTTTAAGTTGGATATTGTTGAAAATCTCCTCACTGGAAGTGTTGTCAGGCACTGGAACAGGCTGTGCAGGGAAGAGGTGGAATCACCATCCTTGAAGTGTTCCAAAAACCCCGTGGATGTGGCACTGTGGGGACATGGTTTAGTGCTGGGTTAGCACTTGGATTCCATGATCTCAGAGCTCTTTAACAATCCTGGGATCTCTCAAAACACCTTTGGGGTCTCCCAGCAGGGGACAGGAAGGGGCAGGGTTGTGTTGTGGCCTCTGTTATCTCAGGGTGGGCAAACACAGCTCAGCCAAGAGGAGAAGCCAGCACAGCCCCAGGGCCAAGCCTGTGCCACAGCTGTCCCCAAGCCCCTGTGACATCTGGGCACAGCTCCCTGAGCATCCCTGGGCTGCCTCAGGGGTCAGCTCTGAGGAACAAGGCAGAGATTTTATAAAAATGTTATATTTTAACAATTTTATATTGCATGCATTTGGATTTTATAAACTTTTGGTTTGTTTTGGGGTGAGGTGCTGCGCTCTGGGAGGGAGGATCTGCAGCCCTGGGATCAGCCCAGCTCTGCTGTTGCACTGGCTGAGAACAAAAAGGCTTTTTTAGCATGGTTTTGTTTTCCACCTGCTGCACACAGAGAGGCTCTCCCCAGCCAGGGCAGTGTGGTGGCACCTCCAGCACCTAGCAAGGTGCTTTGTGAAAAACAAGGTGCACTCTCCTGTAAAAATTTAAAAGTTTAATAAAGGACAAGAGGAGAAAAAGACAATAAAGCAAAGATTTATGGCTGGGTGCTTGGCATTCAGCCAAGAGCACACCTGCTATTTTGGGAACACCCTTTATAAACCACTTCTATTGCATAGAACCTCTTACATATTCACAATTATGCACATTAAAACTTTCCCCCAAACTAGTTTATATGTTCTCAGAATTGTTTAGCATGGCTCCTCCCCGGGTCTGCCTTTTTAGAGCATTTGGTGGATTCCTTGGCTGTGGTTTTAGTCCGTTCCTGTTATCACCTTTGGTTTGGGCTTTGGTCTGTGCTTTCTGCTGATGGCAAGTTTGATAGTTGGTATATCAGTAGTGGGGGTCCTCTTCATGTGTTCATTGAATGTTATCTCAGCCAAGCAGGAATTTTAACACAAATATACTTACATCAGTTATCTCACTGCTGTGTCTAACAGAAACAAAAACTATATTTTTATAACAAAGTTACTTTAACATTATCCATGTAGCATCCATTTTAATATTTGTGAAAGGCCAATATTCTGACATGTGTTTATAACAATCTGGATGCAGCCCCTCGGATACCCCAGCCCTTGCAGCTCCATCCCTGCCCGGGGACTCCCAGACCTCGCCGTAATTGACTGGCTAATTAAGAGATCGGTGCAGATAAGCACGGCACACAATTCCTCACAATTCCTCCACATTCCTCCATCTCCCGGTGCCTGTGGCAGGCAGGGGAGCCTCAGCAGGAGGGAAAAGAACTCTGTGGACACAGATGGACATGGGGTCGGTGTGGTGGTGGGGAGGTGCAGGGAGGCAATGAGGAAAAATTTTTTTCCCCCATTTTTTCTTATTTTTTCTTATTTTTTTCTTTTTTTTCCCCCTGGGCTCGGTGTGGTGGTGGGGAGGTGCAGGGAGGCAATGAGGAAAAATTTTTTTTTTCCCCATTTTTTCTTATTTTTCCTTATTTTTTTCTTTTTTCCCCCCCTTTTTTTTTTTTGGTCACAGCCCCATCGTGCTGCTCCCCCTGGGCACTGGCATCATCCAGAGAGCTTCAGGCAGATAATAGATTTTCACCTTTATTATTATTATTATTATTATTATTATTATTATTATTAATCTTGAGAAATCTTGTAATCCTGCTGAAATTCAAAGTGCAACACAGGTGAAGGGCCAAACCGTTTTTCATGAGGCTCTGGGAGCTCTGGTGATAAAAATAATTCATCTTTAATTTATAGATATTTTTAAAAAATTAAACCCCCTCGCTCCTGATTTCTAATAAAATAAGATTTATTTTTAATGTGACCAGGGTGTCTTGCTCAGCACTGGGGACATTTCTGTGTTTTATGGCCCCAGTATTTATGGCTTTAAGCTTCTTCAAGTGATATTTTTTCAAATATTTGGGGGGTTGCTGGAAGTTGTGGCACAGGATTTGAGGCCAGGCCCCTCTGCAGTGCCTGAGAAAGGTGGTGGAGTTCCAGGAAAGCTGCTTGGCTCTGTCTCAGGGAGGCTTGGGACAAACTGGGGACATTAATGGGGACACCAAACAAAGTTCCTGGCCGCTGGGCCCCTGCTGCTGGAGCAGAAATCTGAATGGGAAGCACAGAAGGTTTTAATCACAGACTCCTAGAATGGTTTGGGTTGGGAGGGACATTAAAATTCCTCTAATCCCATCCCCTGCCATGGTCAGGGACACCTCCCACCATCCCAGGTTGCTCCAAGCCCCATCCAGCCTGGCCTTGGGCACTGCCAGGGATCCAGGGGCAGCCACAGCTGCTCTGGGAATCTGTGCCAGGGCCTGCCCCCCCTCACAGCCAGGAATTCCTTCTAAACCTGCTTCCTTCTGTCAGTTTAAAGCCATTCCCCTTTTCCTACAATCCACGTCCTTGTCCAGAGTCCCTCTCCTTTCTCACAGGCCTCACATGGATTGTTTTTACTGCCTGAGGTTGTCCCATTGGGTTCCTGATGCAAACATCACTGGGAACATGCCAATCCCACCTGGATGGCTCAGGAGAGAGGGATGTGACATCCATCCATCCCTCCATGTATCCATCCATCCCTTCCATGGATCCATCCATCATCCATCCATGGATCCATCCATCCATGCATCCATGGATCCATCCATCCATCACTTCATCAATCCATCCATCATCTGACATCCATCCATCATCCACCCTCCAGGACCCCTCCCAGCACCCCCAGAGTGGCTCTGCCCACCCCCCCTGGCACCCCCTGACCCCACCACAGCTCCCAGCCCTGCAGCCACCCCGGGGGAAGGCTCTGAGGGAGGCTCCCACCTCCTCCCCTCACCCAGAGCAGCTCAAACCCCCCTGCCTCCAGCTCCTCCCCTCACAATCCCCTCCCATTCCCCAAAAATGTCCCAAACAGGTGAGTGACAGGCTGGAATAACCCCTCAGTTCCTTGCTGCATCCCCCAGATCCCTCTTCTCCCTGACCAACAAGCTGCTCCGAGCCCAGGATCCCTGCCTGGGATGGATTTGGAGCTGTAAGTGGAGATCCCAGGATTTAGGTGGCATTTGTTGAGTGAGGCCAGCCTGTCCCATGGGAGCAGGGCCTGGAGGGGAGAGGATGAAGGGAGAGATGAGAAACCCAATACCCCTCTTGGCTCTGTCGTGGCTTAATTTAGAGCACAGGGGCTCTGCCAGAGTGTTTTTCCATTTCAAGCTGAGCCTCTTGCCTTTTGTCCTGCACTGTGCCTTGCAGGGCAGTGGCAGCTGATGGCTTGGGGGGGGTCAGCAGAGCAGTTTCCAACTCAGTTCCCCTGTGCCACCAGCTTCTTCCCCATTTTTCCCACATAAAGGACTGAAATCCATCTCCTCCTACCATCCCTGTCCTGCTTTGGAGCCCCAGGGAGGGCAGGAGGCACCCACAGCCCCATTCCACAGCTCTGAATTCCCCAGGAAGGGCTTTGACCCCCCCAGCTGATCATGTGCCCCCTGTCCAAGCAGATCCCAGGGCAGGCAGAGCTCTCCTGTGTCAATTCTGCCTATGTTTAACCACCCTAATGCAACTTAATTCATCTTACAGCCACTTTGGAAAGCTCTTTGCAGGTAAACTCCTGGCAACAGGCCCAAAGGAAAGGACAATTCATCAAAGATCATTTCTTCCCAGCAGTTCAGCTGTAGTGTAAAATGGGATACATCCATCAGGCTGCTCCACAGAAGAGCTCTGCCCAGCTCCAGGGCAGGAGACAGATTTTGGCTCAGCCCAAGTGTTTGGAGAATTCATATTTGGAGGTAAGAACTGCCCAAATCCTAACAAGGAGTGCCCATAACTAAATACTGGCAGTAAAATTAACCTTAACTGTACCCAGCAGCCCGTGCCAGAGATGTCACCTTTAGCCTGTCACCACCATCAGCTGCAGTGAGAGGCTGAAAAAACTCAGAGCTTATCAAAAAGCTGCCTGGGAAATGACTTCTCACTGCAGGAGGGCTGTCCCAGGGAGGAAATGCTGGGCACTCACAGTGCCTTTATCTGAGAGAGGCAAAACCATGGCTGGCTGCAAACTGGAGCCAGAGAAATTCAAATTAGAATTGAAACACAGTATTTTAGCAGGCTGGTGTTTATCCATGAGAGGAAAAAAAAAACCCAAAAAAAGCCAATAAAAACCACTGAAAGTTCCAAGGGAAGGAGGGGGTTGTGGTGATTTCATATCAGCTGCATCCTGAAAGAAATGCACAAGTGTGCTGGAGAGATCCTGGGGCTCGGGATCTCCAATGTGAGGATTTTCAGGCAGAGAGAAAAATATTGTCATTGATTTTGTTCTCTGAGTGATGGGCAGGGGGCTGCTGCTCCCAAGGTCTGCCAGGGTTTCTTATCTTTAGCAAAATGCTGCAAGAAAATTGGTGTCATCCTTTGAAAAGTGGGAGCCAGCAAGAGCCAGCACGGGGAGAATTCAAGCCAGGTCACTCTGGGGAAGTGCATTTCAAAATACTGAGAAGCCCTGGACATTCTGCCCTCCCACTCTGTGACAGGAGACAGATTGCACATTTCCATGAGCAGCAGCTGCTTACAGGTACAGGCTGCCTAAATAAACTGCTTTATAGTGCTTGGAGTCTTTCTTTGATAAGCATCTGGTGGTGCAAAAAAAGGGAGAAAATGCTTCTGTGCAGCACTGAGCAGGCACAAGGTTAAAGAAATGAGTGTTGCAGCACTCCAAAAAAAGGTTTCCGGGAGAGCCATGTGTGTTTGTGAGATCCCAGTTTCCTCCCTGTGCTTCAGGGCTGATTCAGAGCCCTTTTCCTGGAGAGAGGTTTGATCTTCACAGCTCCCCTGGGACAGGGCACAAGGAAGGGCAGCAGATGCCTCTGCTCTGCTCCTGGGAAAATATTATTGATTCACACTCCTGTGTAAGTGAAATCAGAACCTGCAGCTCCAAGTTACAGCCTGAATTTAGCAGCCACTGCACAGCACAGCTCCCACAGCCCCGCTCCTGCTCAGGCAGCTTTTCCAAGGATCTGCAGGATCTGCTCACTCCTGCAGGTCCTTAAAATCCCTACCAGAGGATCCCTCTCCTCTACAGAGGCATCAGGATGGAGCTGAAACCAAAGCTGTGGCTCCTCTCAACCCAGGATTTATTCCTCAAGTTGTCCAGAGATGATTGAGGGTTACAAGATGCTTTTATCCTCTGAAAAAGGAAAAATACTGCAATGGATGATCCTGATTTTTGTGAGAGAGGCCCCTGAGAGCTGGGCTGAGCTCTAGGGCAGTGGAGCAGCCTCATGAGCACAGGGAGGGTTAATTCCCTGCTAACTCCCAGGAGCTGAGCTTATCCCCAGCTCCCTGACTTCCTCCATCAGGGACTCCAGGAACAGTTTGAAAAGAGCCATTTCTTGAAGAGAGACGTTTCTGAACCTAAGCAGGAAAAAAAAGACAGGGACAACACATCTGGAGTGACTCCTGCTCTGCTTTTTTCCACTCTGCACAGGGGAGTCAGGATGAAATCCCCATGCTGGGGAAGGGAGCAGTGGTTTTCATGCCAAAAAATCCACTTTGCACTGATGGTGCTGGCTGGGGTTAAAGCCTGACAAACTTCAGGCTCATAAAAAGAGGCTGACAAAGCAAAGGACTAAAAAAAAGCTTTCAAGTGAGAAACAAAGGAGCACTGTACAAAAATGCCTGGCTCTCCATTTGCCTGGAATCCCCAAGGCTGCTCTGCACTGGCAGGCTGCATGGCAATGCCTGATTAGCTTGCACTCTGTGTCCTCACTGTGCTGCAGGAGAGAAGGACAGGGCTGGCAGGGTTTGCAGCAGCTCCAAAAAGTCCCAGCACTGCTGCAGTGAAGACCTGCCTGCATTTTGTAGCATTTCTTCCCAGGGAGAACAAGATCTGCCTGATGGATGACTGCAGAGACCCAGAAACAGGGAATTCATAATGTGGATGGCAAGTTTTTTATGGAATGAGCTGAATTTAAGGTAGGTTGACTCATTGCAGGGGTAATCTGCACAGCTTTTCAGTGGAAACTCACTGGAGTTTCAGAAAAGTGCTGCCAGTATGTTCAAGCAAAGAAAGAGGTTGGAATGATGAGAGGAGCCCACCCAAAGCTGATTTGCAGATAGTCCCAGGTCAGGCAAATCCTGTGCCTCAGCACTGAAGTGCCACAGAGAGCCTGAGACAGGCAGGTAGCAGTGTGGGATAAAAACAGAGCTTGTTTTGTTCTAAGGAAGGGGGCTGGCCTAACTTTTGTACAGCAAATTCCTTCCTGAGCTGATAAAGGCAGCAGCAGACTGAATATCGAGCTCTTCCAGGGAACACTGTGCTGAAACCTGGAAGGTTTAGTCCAAAACCCCCCTGCAGAACTGCAGCTTCCCAAACTACACCCACCAGCCCTGCTTGCCAAGCCTCAGAGACAGAAACTGCTGACACATAAAACCTTCACTTTTTGTATTTCATCTCTGCTTCTCATCCTCTCCTGCAAATGCTGAAGGAATGACACGATCTGAGGCTGCAAAATCACACTGGTGCCTGGGCTCTCTCCCTGCTCTGCAGCCCAAAGGACTGGGAAGATCTGGATTAACTCTCCTCTGGTGTATGGTGCTGAACAGCCTCTGCAAAACCAGCCCTCACTTTGTCCATTATGATTTGGATGCAGTTTCAAATCATCCTCTTTGGCTCTCACAGTCTCCATCAGAGCAGCCTTCAGATTTTTGTTTGCATCCATCTGGGAGCCAAGCCTGCAAGGAAACAAAAGGAAAAACTTCCCTGTGAACTGGGGAGCTTCAAAGAAATTGAGAACAGCCACCTCTGTTCTGGGGAAAAAACACTGAAACCCAGAGCCCTGAGAAAGAGCAGAGCACTTGTTCCCCTCTCCCTGAGGCAGGACAGGGTAATCCCAGCTTGGAGAAAGGGAGAACTTACCTCCTGCTCAGCTACTCCACCTGAGATTCCAGGAGCAGCTCGGACAGGGATGCAGAGAGCTCCTCTCTGTCACTCACATGCAAAGGGGGGCTGGGCTGGGCTGTAGATTCAATCACAGAATGGAGTTTTAGTGAAACAGCAAATCAGTTTTGGCAGCATGCTGAGTCAGTATCAAAAAAACCTGAATTTATTCTCTCAAATAAGGTACTTAATCTCTTAAATAAATATTTAATCTCTTAAATTCTATGTTACGTCCATAACATATCATAAATATATGACAGAATTATTTTAATTTTCCAGCAAAATGAAAACATGATGAATTTGCATTTCAGGGCTAAATACGTGCCTACATATATAGGGAGGAAAACAGTAAATCCAAAATATTGAAGTGACCAAAACAAGAGGTTACAAACAGCTGAAAAGGATTAATTTGATCTTAATCTTGTAGTTGTGTTTCAGATTATGACAGCTGTGACTTCCTGAATGTCTGGGACAAAGTTTGCATGTGGCACCCATTGAAACAACTTTTGTAAAGTACTTTGATCCTCAGCATAAATAAAATGTAGGTTAAATGTACTTCAAACCAAGGTTCTCACTCAGAAATGCTTTCCTAAATACAGGTCTACCCCAAACATGCAGCTTTGGTCATCCCAAAAAAGTTCAGAACCTTTTTTCAGGGCTATAGAGAAACTTATAATTCAAGTTTACAGCTGGAGAAGCAAAACCTGTGACCAGTGAATGCCTGCAGTGGAAGGAGGAGCAGAGAAGTGTTCAGGGAGCTCAGAAAGGAGTGCAGGAAGGGAGCACAGCTATTGCAGAGGATGCTGAACTCATCCCAGCCCTGAGGGACTGCAGGGTGATCTCTGCTGTAGACAGAAGGCTGAATCATTTCAGTAAATGGAAATAAATGGATTTCTCTTAAATAATCAATAGCCAGCACTACCTACCTGGAGCCAGGTAACATGAGGGAAGGATTTGTGTGGTTCAGCCCCAAATAAATTATAGAAATCAAGAAAGCAGCTAAATGAAGAGAACAACAGGCTGGAGCTGGCTGCAGTCCTTTTCACTGGGAATAGAGCACCAGGACAGGGAACAGCCAGGCTGGAATCTGTGCTGTGCTCCTACTGAACACTGCAACTGCTGGTTTGTGCTTGTGTTGGCCTGTTGGCACATTTCTGTATCCCTTTTTCCAATTCATATCCCTCCTAATATCAAATATCTTCAAATTTGGAATTAAAACACTAAATCCTCCTCATGTGGAATTATCTGAAAGAACCTGGTTGGAGAGTACTGAACTCTGACAAAAACAAATGAGAAGAAAAGGCTGCATTGTACAGCTAAAAAATGCTTTTGATCTTGAGGCTGTGCTTTACAGGGCTGAGGAAAACCTGCTGTTACTTACCTATCCCTCCTCTGGGATTATTCTTTGCTAATTTGGATAAAACAGGAAAAAAAAGCACAGAAAATGAAAAGCCTGAATAATTTTAAACCACAACTGGGTTGTTTGCAGCTCCTTAGCATCATTATCCACTTCCCTTGAATTGAAGGGACCAGAAACATCAGACTAGCAATTAGATCAGCTCTCTACAATTTCGTACTTTCAGAAAGAAAGGAAAATATTATTTTAATTAGCAGGTTCTCTAGTCTCTATTTTGTATTCAAGCTTTTCATTTTTTCTTATTTCCTCAACCACTGGCATGAAAGCATTGAGATAACCTCCATGTTCTGCTGAAGAGGTGTACTACAGACTTGGTTCCTGTACAAACTCCACTTTTGGCACATCACAAAGCTCTCATCAAAGCAGGGGAGTGAAATAGATTGTTACCTACTCATCTCGTGGATTTAGAGAGGATTTCTCCTTATTAGCCTTACTGCCAATCCTTTTCTACTTTTGCTTTTAGTCCTTAAGCAGAGGAGATTAATGAACTAAATATTTAGTGAGAAGGGATCTGTCACTGGTGGAAACAGCTTCTTCCTCTGGCTATGAAGTGCCAGCTACCAGAATTTACTTTACTACAAAACTTTACTACAGCACAACAAAACTTGACAAAAAAGCCTCAGGACCTGGAGAGTTTGTCTCTCTTGGAGCTTACAAGGGGAAGATTTGATAACAGAACACATCAACACTTCACCAGGTTGTGTAAAATCTGAGCACTCCAGAAACTCAGTTAAATTCTGCACAAATCAGCATCAAAATGCTCCCACACTTCTGAGATCGAAATTTTTCTGCACTCAGCTAATACAGGTGAGACAACTCTAAGAATCAGTGCTCATAAAAAACCACATGAGAATGAGTCAGTGTGGGCTGGAGCCCCTTCCAAGGACACAGCAATAATCCTGCTGTAAAGAACAAATCCATGTTTTACAGAGAGAAGCAGGTTTGAAGCATCCATTCAGTATAAAGGTTCCTCTGAAGGGCTCATCCAAGGTCTCTGATGAGCCCTGTGGTCCCTCTGGTCACCTTAACTCAGCCTGACACCACCCCAACATTTGGCAAATTGAAATTCCCCTCCCTGCTGTTCATCTTCTGGCATTTGAAGTCCTTTTACTTTATGAAAATACACATAAAAAGGGAAACCACTGGAAAATTTTCCTTAAGAATATGTGCCATTTTATTGGTTTAGACACTTTACAGAATCAGAATCCTCAAGCAATAAAAGGATCTGATCAGGGAAATAAAAATTTAACATCCTCCATGAATTCTTCTTTTTTAACTACGCCAGGGAGGCTTTCATATTTATAGCAGGAGATTATCACGTTCATGGGATAATAAATTACACCAGATCTAATTACTTCATCACCAGCAATAGTTTTTCATAGGCACTGACAGGCCTTAAATTGGGATATGTCCTTTAATTCTGCTCTTAACCTTCAGCTGAATCCCTCAGGCACGAGTGCAAAGGGAGCTCTGGGCTGGGGGCAGCACAGAGCAGGGGAAAGCTTTTTCTCCTGCAATTATCCCATGGAAACACCCTGCAAAAATCCTGGTCCCCCTCAGAGCTGTGGGAAAACCCTCTTGAAGGTGGAAACACCCTGCAAAAATCCTGGTCCCCCTCAGAGCTGTGGGAAAACCCTCTTCAGTGAAGAAGGGCCAGGATTTTGCCTCCTGCCTTGCTGCTGGCTCTGAGCAGCTCCCATCACCACGTGCAAGGTCAAGCACTGGGCTGGCTTTGGCAGGTGGAGCCCCAATGTTGTCACTGTCTATAAAGCCCAGAGGTGACACAGGGGATGTGGCTGTGGCTGAGGGCTCCCCTTCACCTTTTCTGCTCCTCAGGGCAGGCTCCTGGGCAGTTGTGCTGCTCCCTGGATCCACCTGCAGGTTTTCAAGATGCTGTTCCAAGCTGTCACTCTGCCACTGCTCTTCATGGAGCTTCTTCTCAGCTTCCGTGACTTTGTCGCTGCTTTCCTCCGCCCTGACAGGCAAAAAAAAATGAATAAAAAAAAAGAAGTTCAGCTCATTTGTGTCATGTCTGTGTCAAATCTGTCTTGGTGCTGAATCCTGCTTCCTCCTGCAGAGCTCCCAACAGAAGAGAAAGAACTTTCCATGCATCCAAAGGCAGAAATCCCAGTGAAATTGTAGCAGGTGACATGTTCTAAATATGCAGAAGAGAATTAACTGATGAGTACAGCTGGAAGCAATGGGTTAGTTTGCTCAGATCCCTTAACTCTGGCTCTCTGTGTGAATTCACCCCTCAGATGGGCAGGAAAGCTGCAGATTGCTGAGGAGAGATCTTTCATTACAGGAATAACAAACTGCATTTTTTAGCCACTCTGGGAAAGCTTGGAAGGCAAATAGTTTATAAAAACTAACATTTGCGTCAGTTATCTGAGAGGAAGAAAAGAAACTTCTGCTTTTAATAAATCTGGCAATTAGACATGACCATGGATGGGAGAGGGTGGAAAAGAAACTGGTGGTTACATCACAAAAAAGCAAATTGCCTCTCTCCATCCTGAATGACACCTCAGAAAATTAACTGCAAAAATGTGATGTGCACCCACTGATGCTGCCAGTGGGGCAGTGACTGACACCAAGTGATTCCAAGGAGTTTAAAGCTAAAAAGAAACAGAGATTGACTCACTGGATTGGACTGAATAAGAGCATTTCCCTCCTGACCCCATGGGTGCAAGTTGGTTACTCTCTGAATCAAGAGACTTGATTAGTTTATTTCCCTCCTAGCTGGCATGAATAAAAAAAATAAATTACAACTCTAATAAAATTATATCACTGGTTTAAAAATGTAGCTACAGGCAAGACTCGACCTGCTGTGGCAGTGAATTCCCAGGCTGGTGATGTGCTCTGAGACATTTTATTCCTCTCAGTGGTTCTGCATTCACTAAGCTTTCATTTGACCCTGGTGTTCCCCTGGCATCCACTTTACTCAAAAACTGGAGGAAAAATGGCAAGATCTGTGGGATTTTTAATGGAATCATCCACAAAGAGGAATAATTTAAACTAAAATGCTGTAGAAAAATCTCACTTGTAACAATTCCCAGGGCTCTTCTCTTGATTTAAGCATTATCTGTGTTACCTGAACTTTGTCACACCCCAGCAGTGGAGGGAAGAGGAGGAAAACCTGATTTTTAAAAATATATTCACGTTGAAATCTGACTGGTGCTATATTACCCTGAGGTCTTCCAAGAGTTATTGCACACAGTCTCAGAAAATTTATGTTACCTGCTTGATAAATGTGTGATAACTGTGGAGCTGCTGAATCATCAGTTTATGGCACATTTTACAAGCAAGTGTGCATTTCATTGACTCTGTTTTTCATTATCCCATATTGGTGGTGGCCACACTTCAGTTACCACTCACAGCCCCATCCTCCTCTGACTGCACAGCTCTATTAAAGTCACTGGGCTTACAAACATGAAAAAGATTTTCCCCAGCATGTATTTTCAGAATTTAGCTTTAAAAGCACCTTTTCCACCACTCTAAAAGAAAAAAAAAATCTATTTTTTTCTGACTGTGATTAATCATGCAGGACAAAAGTTATACAAGTGAGAGTGAGACTGTGGCAAATTAAAGCAAGTAAGCAAACAGTGCTTATTATATTGACAAGCACACAGGAATATACTTCCAATATTGGGAATCAAATAACACATACTGGGAAAAAACAGTAGCTGAAAGGTGTCCAAAAAATTACTTTTCTGTCCCTTCTCTTCTAAAACGTGGTTGGCTTTTAACATCATCTTACATTGAACTGAATCAGAGAAAATAAAATCTAATAAAAAATCACTGCTATGCCTCTGTTAAACCAGAATAAATTAATTTAGAAAAGGACACAATGGAACTTAAAAAGAATGTGAAAAGCTTTGTAAGAGAATATTATAACAATAATTACAGTATTTACTACTGATGAATAATATTGCTGCCTCAATAAGGCCATGCATATATAAATACAGCAATTCTGGTTTTATCTAAGTGCAGCAAGCTGGAAGATGGCTCCATTTTTTTTTCTCTGCCCTTTGTTCTAAAAGAATAATAAAAAGAATGAATCATCAGCCAGGCAGAGAAATTGAGCAGAAAAAAAATTGAAAACCCCCTATTTAAGGCAAGGAAGGCAGCGTGTGATGTACTGTGGTGCCTGTCCCAGACTCTCCCTGCTCCCAGCAGCCCACAAAGGATGCTGCTGGCATGAGGCTGTGCCATTTCTGCAGCTCCAGGAGCTTTTCCCTCTCCTGGCACAGAGCCCTCTGTGTTATGATCTCTCCCAGCAGCACTTCCCAGCTCAAGCTGCCCGTGCCAGCAGACCTGAGGGAAGCACAAGCACAGAGAGCCTGGGTCCCACTTCTGAAATGGAAGTGCTCAAATGCTGCCTTTGTTTCATTCCTATCTCCAATACACTTGTCTGAAGGTGAAGGCAGAATGCAGAGCCAGGCTCACTACCTCCCCCCAGCACCCATCTCTAGACTGCAATAAAGAGAACAGAAATATTTGGATATAAAGTCACAAGGAGTGCCATTAGAAAGCTGTTTGTGGATGCTCTCCCCTCCCCATCACCCCTGAAAACAAACTTCCACCTCTGATCAATTCATTATCCCTGACTCTCCTTCCACTGCTACTGCCAGAGTAAAAGGAGATTGTATCTCCCAAGTGCCGCACTAAACTATTAAATGCCCTGCTATTGATTTTCTCCCTCTGAAAGGCTTCAGGCAGCACTTGCACAATGGCTGTTCTTGTGTCCAAAATGTGCTGAAAGGAAGGGCAGTTTTCCCATGCATCCCATTATTATGTAGTTCATTACTTCTCTGACCTCTCTGCTTTCAGGAAGACCTTCTTTAGAACAAAAAAAACCAAAAAAAACCCCAAGAGAAATCTTGATGGTTGGGAGTAAAAATGGAGAAGAATGGTGTCAAACAAGCAGTCAATTATAGAATTAAGAGAGAAATCAGATGTTAGAGCTCTTGGACAGCTTCAGGTAGGAGGGATGGTGCAAGAAGCTTTCACTACAGAAACAAGGCAGGCAAGACAAGGATTTCCAGCAGCTTGCAGAGCATGGCAGAGCACCTCCCTTGCTGTAATGAAGTTTACATACCCACCTTCCAGGTGGGTTGAGGAAGAAAGGCTCTGTGGCTGCTGACTCCACGAGCACGTGGCCCATCGCGGACACTGTGCTGGGGGGAGGAAAGCTGTGTTAGGAGCTTCACATAGGGCAGAATTCCCAGAATTCCAGTCCTTCTCCAATGTCTGTGTTTTGTAAGGAAAAGCTCCCTCACCTCACACCTTCACCCAGCACCAGGAGAGGCAATCCCAGCTCTGTGCAGTTTGATAGTGTTTGCATGTCACAGATTTTCCTAACAAAGCGACCCCTGCTCTGCAACGCAGGGCACAACTTGGATTTCCCAATGCCCTTTAGAAATATACTTCACACAGCTTTATGTATTTTATACAGCTTTATGAAATCTGCTTTGTGAAAACCCTCAGGAAGATCTGTCAGGCTCACTGTTGTAAGAGGAGGAACCAGCTGATAACACCAGAGTATCACTGCCAGCCTGGTTGAGTTTTATGTATAATGACGTGTGCCTGGGACATCTCATTTCAGTGTGTATTTGTTTGGGACATCCCACTTAGGTGTGTCTTTGTTTGGGACCTCCCATTTAGGTGTGTCTTTGTTTGGGACACCCTATTTAAGGAGCTATTTGCTTGGGACACCACATTTCAGGGGGTGTTCGTTTCCTCAACACAAATTCAGCTGCCCAAAGCCAAGTCCCTGCAGACTTACCCCACATTTCCTTACTTCAGCTGTAGCTAACAAGAGGATAAAGCCTTAATATTGTGGAAGTGACAGATGTGCCTCCTGGGCTAGGAGTGGTTAATCCTAAAATCAAGTTAAGGTTCATACTGACAGCTTCGGCCCAGTCTAAAAATGCAGATTTTTACTCTGCCATCTCCAATGGGTTCAGCATCTATTTATAGAGTTTTTCATTTTACCTTTTCCGATAGGAAAAGATGATTCACTACAGCCAAACAGAATTGAGAGTTCATCAGCATATTAAAGTTAATGGAAGGAATGAGCCTTGCTGACCAAGTTATTAACAGCTCTCAGAGTTTTTCAGGATCATTCATTGCCCACCTGACACGTCAGCTCTTTGCACGACAGAGCCCTTGGCCCTGTACACAAGCAATAATTTATGCATTGCACTTAGTGGTTTCCACAAAGCCATTACCCAGCTTTGGTTCCTGCTTAGCATCAGCAGACATGCGAGGTAAAAAAAAAAGGGGATAAAATATAGATTTGCTCCAGGAGAGCACAACAACTTCTGCAGAGTTGGAAGGGGGAGAATTAAAACAGTCAGAAGGGCGTGGAAACTTTCAAATTAAGGATACTTCAAGTCCAACTCAAAACTACAGAATTCTTCTTAAATTTTACAGTAATGCTCTACTTAGGAATACTCAACTGATTTTAAAGCCAAATTGGGTGTCTAAAGTAATGAGTTAGGAAATTACACAGAAGAGATCAGTTGTAACTTTATCTTGATGAAAAATTTCCCCCATCCTCATCAGACCAGTCTCAAATCCTCACTATCAATTAGACCATGAACTCTTTAGCAACAAACTCAGCAGCAATTTAACAGGAAAGGATATAACTTGCTGTGGTACCTTGGTCCCTTTACACAGCCAGAGTGACCCAGAGTCACATCAGTGTAAACACAAATCAGATTTATTGCTGCACTAAGATTAGTGTAATTTACACAGTCCTCAGTGAGGCTTTAAAGAGGGTGTTTGGTAAGAACAAATGATGTGGTGTGTTTTCAACATTTCTGCATGTAAATCCTACTCAAAGAGCATTTATTGATTTAAATAATGCACCGGTGATTTAGTGCTTACCTAAAATGGCACTTTGCCTTCACTCCCCACCCTGCTCACAGAAATCTGCTCCTTAGAAGCCCTGTGTCTCATAAGGGAAAAGACTCCCAGGCACTTAAGCTGACCACATAAACATTATCTGAGCTGCAGGAGGAGAAATAGCTGCACTACCACCATGCCAAATCTAGTCATGTCTGCAAGTCTGTACATCCTTCTCAGTTCCAGGACAAAAGTCCAAGAGATAATGTGATTAGAGATTCCCATATATTGCAAACAGGCTGCCACAGCTGTTGGCACAAAGCACTTGTGGTCTGATGAAACTCCCTGGGAAAACCAAGCTCCTGGATTACTCAAACAACTTGCAATATTGACTTTCTGATCTTCTTACCAGGAATCTTCTTACCATTCTGTCCTCCCAGCCTTGCTGCTGCCTGACCCCTCAGGTGATCCTGAGTGCTCATAGCGTGGTGGAGGAGCAGCTCCTGACTTGTTCTGTGGATGGGCAGATTTCTTCTGTTAATGGTGGAGCATGTTATAAAAGCAATTACATAGCTCAGAGGAAAACAGCTGCACCAATGCCAAAGCAGCAGCTTTTGATTATTGCTACAAGCAAGCCAGAAAACTTTTGATTTACAGGACCTCTCAGAAGCTTTGCTTTAATTCCCATTCATTGCAGGATGAAAACAAAACAGAAATCAGTAAAAAGGGTAGTTTAATATGAAATCAGAGTGCATTAATAAACCAACTGTGCTGGCAGTGATGCTGCTGCACTGTGGGTTGTGTCCCTAACCCAGGTTTGATCCTGGGTTCAATGCCCCAACCCCCATTCTTGAGGTATTTGGGAGATTCACAACCTCACCAGAGCCCCAGGAGGGTTTTGGATCTATGAGAATGGCATGCCTAAACACTCTTCACAAATCCTGACTGTGAGACAGCAGCAGCTGCTGATGTTGGTGTGACACATTTGTTTGCTTCCTCCTTCCAGCAGCCAAGGGTGCTGAGCACTGAGGAGCCCCTAGTGCAGCCCCAAGTCCTGCTGTCAGTCTGACAGTCCTGACTTGGCCCATGTGTGGATGTGATTGGTATTTCTGTGTTTGCTGCTGCTGAAACTGCCTCAAGTTATGCACAAAGGAACTGAGGAGTTACAAAAGAGAATTCCTGCTTTATCATTCCATCAGGAAAGACTGTCAGCAGGACAGGGATCACTGTCTGGAGGCAGCAACCATCTCAGATAACAAGGGACAAGGAAGTGGAAGAGCAGATCTGAAGTGATTACCAAGTGCGCTCCTCTAATTAATTTGTTTGCCTACCTTATTTGTGAGCTGTCCAATCTCCTTCTCCAGAATTTTAACCTTTTCTTCTCTGTCAGCCACCAACCCCCTGAGCTCATCTATCAGGGTGTTTTGTTTCTGAATCTCATGGCTCAAGTGGTGCCCCATCGTCTCCTGAGACTCCTTGTTCTCATTCTCCTTCTGGCTCAGGCCCTTTAAGATCTCCTGCATTTGCTTCTGCTGGCTCTGGTAAAAGAGAAACAGGGGAGAGCTTCATTTTGTACACAATGATTATTTTAAACCCCCCCAAGACAAATATCCATTTAGGAATGGCAGGGCAAGTCCCTGGTGGGGAGCACACTGGTGTCACTGGTGCCACTTTGGCAATTTGATTTGTTATGTTGACCTGAGCAACGGTCAGATTCAATTTGCTGCCAGCTCTGCTGCTCAGCGTAGCAAAAAACAGAGCAAAAAAGGCTGGCCTTTCATAAAGAAATTACTTTTCCCATAAACTGAATGAAATTCAAGATTTCAATGTGCTTTTTGTGGAATTAGAACATGACCAGATCATGTGATAGTGATATTAAAAGCTGAGGGTACTGTGGGGTGACAGATATGAGGCCAGGCTGCTTCACCAGTAGTTTTGGAGGTTTTTTTTTCCACACTGACAAACCTAATACCTGTCAGGCAGTTTGTTCTGTCAGGCCAACAACCTGCAAGTAAAGTGCTTTTGTGATAGAAGGGATTAAAGAGATTAACCATCCCTTCCCAAAGAAACTTGCATCTTTCTGTACTAATTTTAGTGGGAACACTCAGAAAAAGTGACAAGTGTTCTTTGGCTCCCCTAATCTGCTGGTCAGCACCCACAGTGCTGGTGGGAGAAGGGTGAATGCCAGCTGAGCTAAAACCTACCCACAGCAGCAGGGAAATCTGAGTGGTTTGAAACTAGTGAGGAGCTGGATCAGGAAACACAGAATTAACCCTGCTAGGAGGTGGCATATTCTCTACTATATTTGCCATTTTAATTGAGGAAGGCTGTTTAAAACCATGGCAGGACCATGACAGCAGCTATTTATTTCTTTCTTAGCATCTTTGAGCCTTTGCTAAAACTCTTGGTTTAGAAGAGGCCAAATCCTCTCCTGCATGTGAGGGTGCACATGGTTTAGTGCTCATGGTTCAGCTTGTGGGCTGAACCATTTATTACAAAATAAATGGAAGTTACAAACGAAAAAATTCCTGCAGGACTGCAGGCATTCTAAGGAAAAAAAAAAAATCTACCAGTGGAGGTGAAAGCAGAATAAAGAACACAGGCCTTGGGTCAGGACTGAAGGCCTTCCTCTACCTACTTCAATCCTTCTGCAAAATGTTTCTGCCAGTCCCTGCAGCTCAGGGCCACTTGGCTGTATCTGTCACACCTGGTGCTGTCTCACAGCCCTTACATGACCTGATCCAAAATGCAGAAGGACTTCAGCTGACAGGGAAACCTCTGGCTGTCACAGTTGGATCCATCAGGCTCCTGTATACCCTAAGGCTGTGTGTGCCATGTTTTATCCCCTACAGGAACAGGGCTGGGACCAACACAGACTGTACCAGCAAGGCCTGTATGAGCTCATCATCATGTTTCCCTTTCTCCAGCAAGGTTCCAATCTGTCCCTTCAGCATCTTCACTTCTCCACACAGCATTTGGTTCCTGGCTCTTGAAGCATCAAATTTTTTTTTCAATTCCTCATGGTTTTTTTGGAGAGTGTTGTGTTGCTCAGAGAGTTTCTGTAGCGATGTAAAAGGAAAAGAAAGTTATAACTTATCACCAAGCCCCAGGTGCTGTGGTGAGTAAAAGAATCACACATTACCTGGTAGAATCTAAAAAAATGGGACTGGAATACTGTATTAGTCCTAGGGAAGTAGAAATTATAAATGCTACTGGCTGCCTGCTTGCCAACATCCAAAAAAGGGTCTGTCTGCTCAGGAATCCAGGTGCTCTGGGTAGATTCTCCATTATTCTGGATTCTCATTCTCCATTATTCTGGAGAATATCTGGGTAGATTCTCCATTATTCTGTTCAAATGGAGAAGCCCAGAGCCCTACAGTTGCAGGAGGTGTGAGGGGATGTCTGCATTTGGGATGAAGAATGCACACTTGGCCAAGAGGGGTGCTAAGGAGTTTGGGTGCAGCTCTAGCAGGGCTTGGCTGTGAAATGGGGCAGAGCTTCCTCCAGCAGATGAGGTAGGTCTGTGAAATGGTTTTAGGTAGGGTGTAACACACCCTGAAGGCAGGACAAGTTATTACACACTGCTCCACACCCAAACAGGACTCTGTCAGCTCACAGGATTCTACCTCCAAAGATTCCTTCTTTTCTTTCTCCAAGCTGCGAATCTTCAGCAAGTTCTTCTCTTGGACTGACAACTTCCTTGGATCAGGAAATGTCAGCAATCCCTCATCCATCTCAAGCAGTGAAGCTCTGATCTTCTGGTGATTCAGTTTATGCTCCAGCTCATGAACCTGTGGCACAACAATGACAACTCATCCTCAGCTTTAGCAGGGGCACAGGGCAAAGAGGACACAGCCAAAGGCAGCTCAGATTATTTCTTGATATTTTAATGGTTGATTAACACTAGCAGTGTCTGGTCTTTCAGATTGAAATTTAGCTGCTAATAAACATGCAGATTTTAGGGCATCTGTGCAGGATGGAGATCTGGGACACATGGGAGATCTGTGCCTTTGTGGAGCCACATTTGGAGGCCAGACAGGCACTCCAGAGCACTGGAATTGCTGCTGTGTGAATCCAAGGGAACCCAGCTTGTCAACTGAGGCTGCTTGCATAGTCAGGGGAAGGAACTGAGCACTTCCTCTGCTTTGGAGGAACCTGCTGGAGGAACCTGTCTCACTTTTGATCCAGTCACTGGATTTACAAGATCCCCACTGACTGCAGAAGGGGCCTGAGGAGTCTGGATCAGAAAGAAATCTGCACATTAAAGCAGAGAACAGTAGGAACAGTGGCCAGATGAACCCCAGGCAGGGATAAAACAGGGGGAAATGGAATTTGCTCAAGGGAAAGCAGAGGTTAAAAATCTCAGTCAGAATGCAAAAAATCACAGTTTGATGGCATATAATTGAACAGCAGGAAAATAGGAAAATGATATATCAAATTGCCTGAGAGAAGTTTTATTTGGATGCAGACAAAACTGCCTCCCTGCCTCCTGCTGACATTTCAGCTAAACTCTGCCCTTCAGAAGACTCAAGAGTTAAAGATTTTACTGAAGCTCCTGAGGGAACAACTTGAAAACCTGATCTGGCCTCAATTCTTCCCATCTGACTCCAAGCACTGAACAAAGGTGTCTAAGTCAGAGCACAGACACTGACAGGGCTCCTTCTGTTCTCAGTGGAGAGAGGCACCTTCAAAACACCCTGGGACTTGAACTAGGCTGCCACAGCTCTCCAAGGTCACTGAACTCCTTCCTTTGACACAGATGTGAAAGATTCCCAGCTGAAATACCAAAGCTTACAGGGCTGCAGAGTCATTAACATGGTGTGCACACATCAACCCAGAGATGTTAAGAATTAATGAAGAACTAACAGCACTTTTACCTTAATTTGAGGTGATAGCTCTACTTAGAAAGAGAATTCCAGCTGAAATGGCACCGTGCAGGGCTGAAACTCACCTTGGTTTGGAGAAGGAGAATCTGCTGAGCTCGTCCACGCCAGTTGCCAGAATTGGTCAAGAGACTTTGGATATTCACATCTTCCCCAACTTCTTTGGCTAAAATCTGGGAAAAGGGATTAACATCAACAATAAGGCTGAAAATGATGGGTTGGGGAGAGGGAAGGAAAAGCAGCTCTCTCTAACAGGGAGCACAAGCAGTTTTCAATAGACACAATTATTTTTGATATGATAATTAACCCATAATTAACCAGGAGCAGAGATATTGTCTTCATACACACCAGGAATTGAATCAATCTCCCTTGCAAAATTCTGACACAGCTAAACTTAGTATGAAGAGCATTTAAATTATTTATAAAAAGGTCAGCAGAGTTCTATTTTTAGGACCATATTCTCTACTCTGATCTGCATTGCAGGTCTCCTACACAAAGTAGGGAAACCAAAGAGAATCAGAGCACATAATAACACTTAAATCCATCATGGATCAGAGGAAAAGGTTATTCTGGATGTCATTCCAACAAACTCTTTAAACACATGCTTTAGTTCAAGCATGACCTCTAATGCCATTGATTCCCAAGGCACTGGAGCCTACAATAAAAGTAAATACATAATTAAATGTATGGGAAAGGAGGAATGATATATGGATATATGTCACAAACAGTTCTGCTGATCTGAGACTTTAAAACTCAGAAGGATTTGTGGACAGTGGGAGGCAAGACATGAGATTCCTGTGTCCAGGAGCACAATTTCAATTCCAACCCCTACCCCTGTGTCTTCCCCAGCTCCCTGCTCCATTGGAACAGCTCATGGGGGCCAACCAAAGGCCAAAAACCTCCCAAATTCCCAAGACTGAACCTCCTGCAGGAGTCCCAGCCCCAGACTGCTCCCTGCAGTGGTACCTTTTGGGTCAGCTTCAGTTCCTGTTTCAAATTCTGGAGCTGGTTCCGATATTCTGTCACTTTTAAGTTGGCTGTGTTCAATTTTTCTTGCAGTGCTTTCACCTCTGGATTTTCAGCCTTGGAGGAAAGGAAGGAAAGGGAAAAACTGAAGTGATTAACATCCATGGATCCATCAGGATCACTGAATTATTTTTTCCAGACCTAATTTTTGGAGCACAGAGGAGGTACAGGGGAATTTGGTCCCAAAACTGGTGACAGGGATACATCCTTGTTCTACAAAAGAGCTGAGTATGTGCTGCCAATTTCCTCATTTCAATTACAATTCCTACCAAGTCTCCTTCCAGCTTTTTCAGAGCTGATTCCTTGATTCCTGCAGCATCACCACCAAGGGAATGGATTTTTTCTGCAGCTGCCTGTAGCTGGAAAAGAACCCCATTGTTAGTGTAGAATGGATGCAGAGAACAGCATCACTCCATGGAGTATTAATTAGCAAAAAAGTATAACTTAGATGTTTATGTACTCTAAAAAAATCCCCAAAACCCCCTTAATTTTCCCTTTTCTAACACAATCATTAGGAAAGGTTTTTTCTTTCTTTTTTTTTTTTTTTTTCTGAAATGCTTCCCAAAGGATCATGTTGCATTTTACTGTGGAATAACTTCAGAACTTGCTGAGATGGGATCAAATTTCAAATATGGAGACTCCTGAGACATTTTATCACCAAAAGTACCTCGAGTTAATGTTTATATACAGAAATCCAAATCCTGTCCAGCCCAGAATATTTCATAAAATGCAAATAGTTCTACTCAATGGAGGAATACAAAAGGAGAAATCTACCTGACACCCTATAACTGAAATTTAATGGTGTTACGGCTCTTTTTCTTTAGCTGGGAACTCTAAAGTAGCATTTTTTAACTTCTTTAAATAACTTAATTTATTAATTAAGAGTAAAAAGGAAAACAGACATACAACCCCTCCTGCTTTGAATCATGTAACTCTAAAGTAGCATTTTTTAACTTCTTTAAATAACTTAATTTATTAATTAAGAGTAAAGACTGTCTCCTCTTGCTTGCCACAGCAAAGGAAAACAGACATACAACCCTTTCTGCTCTGAATCATGCCCTATGTTGCTGTTGCAAAGATTTCTAAATGGATGAGAGTGCAGGAATTTGGGGCTGGAAAGGCCAGGAAGTGTTGCTTTAAAAGTTTGGGACTTCATTTTTTGAGGTGGGTGGAAAATCTTGATTATTTGCCTGAATTAAGGAAGAGTCTAAGGAAGAACTCCTTCATTAAAGGGACATCTGGGGAAAAATTCACTTAGGATCAGCTCTAATTTCATCTTTTTTGATGGGTTAGGGCCACTCTTTCTATCCAGTTCATAAAGTTTTGTAGTCAATGAACTGATAATGAGGAATTTCAGCTGGAGCTGGCAGCTGCTGGCTCCAGTTCTGAGGAAATTTTCTGCAAACATCCCTTTGCTCACATGGCCCACCCTTTGCCAAGTGATTGTTCAGTGGCCACACCTTCCATTCTGTTTAGGGGAAAATAATCATGGTAAAATACTTATGATTTACAGATTTTTCAGTTTTCAGACAAGGAAAAGAGCTATAAATAGGTAAAATAACAGTGTTTTCTAGCTATCACTCTATATTTTTCATAGATACCTCCCAGTGACTAACACTGCTTTCATTTTACACATCATTTACATATTCATATTCCTGAAATGTTTGTGCTCCTTTCTTTTTGGGCCAAAATCTGACAATATTTAATGGTTTTTGTTTTGAATAATGGTCATTCCACTTCTGCAGTAAGGGAGAGGAACTAAGCTGATTTTTCCTTAAATTATTCATGAATTGCTCCACTACTTGTGTGATTTTGTAGGTCCCAAACTACACCTGATACTTGTTTGCCAACCTGCCAACTGTTTGACAAGATCCCTGTGACCAGAGCACTGTGGATTTATGCAGGAGTTCTCCAAAATTTAATTTAATCTATGACTTCTTGATCTTTCAGGTAGCTGGGGTGCAATTCAGGTAGATGCATGACTCATGATAATAAGTGATGGTGAAAGGCTGAGTCAAAATGCATCTGTCAGCATTATGGATTCATTTAACTGATGTCTTCTAAGAAAGCAAAGTTCAGGAAAAAAAAATGAAAAAAATCACCCATACTGTGTAAGGAAGAGGAGCAGTAGCCAAAGGACAAAGCAAATATTGACATCAGGGCATCTCATTTTCAATTCAGCAGCCACCTGAGTAAAATTACTTCTATGAGAGGTTGGCAAAAAAGTCACAGTAAAGTAGAAAATTTAATCTGTCTGAGTGAAGGTTTGCTGTCTTATATGATATAGTTTGGTGTTGTTTCAGTTCTGTAAGTACTTATTCCAGAAAACAGCTTTCATTACAGGGATAACAAAAGCTTAGAATAACAAAAAACTAATTAGTGACTGGTCTTAACGAGGTGGGAATGTAAGACATAAAGGTGTGAAATGGCATTCTCCTCACAAAAAAAAAAAAAAACCAAACCGAAATAATAAGAGAAATATTATTGCCAAACTGGTAGAAAAGTCTCTGAGCTTCTACAAGTGAACATTCCTAAATGCTGTTTAATAAATCCTTGGCTCATTATAATTTGGGGATATCCTTTCCTAGCTCCTCCTGTCTGCAGAGGTGAAACAGCTGAGGGAACACATCATGGACAGAAATGACCACAACCCAAAGCAAACACAGATTTAAAAGCAAATTCAACATGGGAACATGAACCAAACCCATTTTCTACCCCAGAGGCTGGATTTCCATGTTTTACTATGCAACAAGAACAAGAAAAATGCCTCACTTCTCTCTCCAGCTCCTTGACTCTGTGATTCAGCTGCTTCACTTTGGCTCTCTCACTCTCAAACTCAGCTGTCACCTCCCGGTTTTTCTTGGCCAACTCAACTATTTTAGTGGCAGCCACGTCTCCAGCAAAACCAGACACCTCTGAAAGAGCACATCAAAGCAGAGGGCACATCTTACAGGCAGGATTGAGAACAGACCATGCTTTTGTTCCCTGTCACAATGAACTTCCATTGTCCCATCCCTTCCTCTGCGAGCTGTGCCAGGCACTTCAATGAACAAGACAGGCAAGAGATGTCAGAGGTGCCAGCTGGAGGGGTTGGTCCTTTGATCCTGCAGCACTCCATGGCCACATTTCACACTGTGGCAACAGCCACAAGGCCACATCAGTGGTCATAGCCACATTTTTACCTGGAGAGGGCAGTGGTGTTTCCTGCTCACTGCTGGGAAGGAGAGCTGGGAACAGGATTTTTTGGCATTTTCACAAAAAAAGGCAACACTCTGCTTTGTCTGGTTGTTTACTACAGGAGGAGTTGCTGGAACAGAGGTGTGAATGTTTTTAGACATCAGTCCTCAAAGGTCAGGCACAATATTACAGTTGGGTGCTGGACAAGGTCCAGGAAATTTCATTGTGCCTATTTATAACTCCCTTGGGATTACACAGGGAGTTTTACTGGATGACTCTTTTAATTGCTCTTTTAATTAGCCACGTCACTAGCTCCCTCATCAGGGAGGGTTTGATTAGTGCCACAAACAAAGCAAACCTGTTGTGTCACCTGGCTCTGGTTAAAAGCACACAGGTGAAGCAAAGCTCCTGTACAAGTGCAAAATCAATGCCATGGCAAACAATGTCCACAGAAACTTCCAGCTCAGCAAGGAACATGAGCCTGCAACAACAAACCCTTGATGGGGGTGTGAAGACTGAACTTGGCTGCTGTCATTCCTCTTAACTCTTTCATCCTGCTTCAGGGCTCTGCAGTAATCACTTTTCTGTGATATTCATGAATTGGGGTGGGATGAGAGGTGAGAGAGATCACTCCCAAGTGAATGCTGAGGCCCATACAGCCCCAGAGACACTAATGGGGCCACACAGAATACAGCTGGGAACAGAATTTGTTTCTATGCCATTGTTTAAAAAAACTTGTAAACCAAAATTTATTGTTTTAAAGGAATTTATTTTAAAAGCATTTAAAATACTTTTTTAAAAGCACTTTAAAGCAATTCATTATTTGCAAAAGCACTGCTCTCACTCCTTTGTGTGATTTGTGTCACCCCTCCCACCTGGGAGCTACTTTTACCTCAGTTTTCAGGATAAATAATGGATGCTGAGAATCACAGTGAATACTAAATTAACCAAATCCAGGCTGCTGCTTCCATGGTAAATTGCTGGTCTTCAAATGCATCGGACACACTCACCCAAGGCTTTTCACTCCCAAGCAATGGGGGGATTGCCACAATGCAGACAGGGAAAACAGAGGCAAGGGATTGGAATCAGCCAAAGAAGCTGCAACAGCACATCTGGCTCCTGGTCCTGACCAGGAAGAGATTATCACCTCTCCTACACAAAAACTACAGCTGCTTTTCAAGGATTAAGGTGGAATTTAATGTTATTTAGTTCTCTTTGTTGCTGGTTTCCCCCTTCTCCTCAAGCCTGGTCATCAGTGCTGTCCTGACCAACAGTGGCACCCAGTGGAGGAGGTGCAGCCTGCACAGTTCAGTTGTCAAAAAACACCAAAATCACTTTAGAAGTTGAATTTTGCATTCATCCAGCATGCTGCCTGTGCCCTGTTCAGGCAGAAAAAAACAAGGAGCCTGAATAAGAAATTTAACCCTACAGAGCAGAGAAAGCTGCAGCACAGCTCTTTGAGACTAACAGGAAGTTTCCCAAAATAATATTTATATGGAACACCATTATTGCCAATAATAGCAAGTTTACAGTTCTATGAGGAACAGAAATCACTGTGGACCCTAAAAGGACACTATTCTTTTCAGAGACATTTTTTTGTCATCAGCATCAAGCAAACCAACATGGGGAGAACTCAAAAGTTGCTGTGTTTACCTGACAGAGCCAACTTCTCCAGCCGTACTCTTTTCTGGAGCTCCTTTATTTCAAACTCTTGCTCTGCTGTCAGTCTGTAGAGCCTGCAGTTCTCATCCCGGATCTCTCGGAGCTGATCCTGCAGCTGCTTATTCTCAGCCTCAAGAAAACTGGGAAAAAATTAACCATAATGGCAAATAATGCACAAATAGGTGCTCCTGGAAATAAAATAATGAAACAACTGCATGATGGATGGGTTGAGCTTATCAAGAGTGAGCTTATTGAATTAGGCAGAATGTCCTAAAGCTCAGATAAGAACACAAGCTGGTTATCTGATCTATTCAGATAACATCTTCTTAAAAAATAAAAATTGCACTTTCTTGAGCTGTCTGGGGCAAAACATCACAGAACAGGTGTACTGAGGTTACCAAATAGTGTCATCTCAGTGTTACTTACCTGCTTCTTCAGAGAAAATCAGGCAGCAGTCAGCATGTGGGACATTCAGGCTTTCTTTTCTATACTTGACAAAGCCAAGAGAAGCCAACAGAGCATCGACTACAAAGCTGCCCCTGGGGTCCTTTAAAAATCAATGTTTTAGAGCAATTCATAAAAGACCAATTTCCCGTGTCCTCAGCTGATTCTCCTGGAACCCTGTGAGCACCAGTTTGTATTGTGCCTTTTGGAATTCATTTAGAAACAGAGAATACCAAAAAAAGCCCTCTGAATGGAAAGAAACAGCTCTGCTTCTCCTATTCTTCAGGACATTTAGCAACATTTAAAGGTTTCATCTCTCTAAGACATCCAGAGAATTAATAACTTTAATCTCTTTATGGCCCTGATGTGATAGGTCCTTCAAATATAAAAACCTGTGGAGCCTCAGGGGCTCCATTCAGTTGTGGGAGTTCAGAATTACCCGAGCTCCCTAACACGGGATCCTTGAGAAAATCTGGGATTTAATACAATTACCCCCACACAGGTGACATTTGGGCTGCCCACCTGACCCCAGCTGCTGCTGGTGGAAGATGCAGGTCTCCAGTGCCCTGTGATTCCCATGTGGGAATTCCTATCTCAGTTATCCAGACACCTAAATCAGCTGGATGAATTGACTCCTAGACTCTCATTTAACCCTAAACGTTCACTTTGGAGATGTGGTTTGAACAAAGCCCAGTTGTTACAGTTTGTACCTGTAAACACAACCAAGTCAGATGTCTCAATAACCACCTCATTTTTTTATTCCAAAATTTTAGCAAGCTCTTAGCACCCATTGGACCTGAGAGCTTTTAAATGCACCCTCCATGTGCCCACAGCAGAATAAATAACCTCTCAAGGCACTGCCATAAACAGCACAACCAGTTTGGGAGAGGATTCACAATGTATAATTAAAAAATGCACTTGTGTTTCAAAGCTGCAAATCAAAGGGAGATCAAAGGCAGCTGTTCACAAAGGAGAAGAAAGCAAAGAGCAATGTGAGCAGAGGAGAGGCAGAACTGAATTATTCCCACATGAACCACTCAGAGGAGTGAGCAACAAAACTCAGATCCAATTAGAGACACCTGAACCAAAAGATTTTGAACAGTTGGGGGATTAACATGGAAAAAAGGTTCTAAGCTCTTAACACACCTGAGCAGTGAAGTCTTCTGAGAGCTGGAGTCCAAGTCTGGAGGAAAAGCACTTAGAGGAGGATGGACAGAACTGCACAGAGCTGGAGTCTTCTCTGAGGAACTTCCCACCCCATCCCAGAGTGACTCTCCCTGTTACAGAGGCTATAAATGAGCCAAAAGAAATGGGCTGCCAAAGGTGCCCCTTTTCACTCTCCTTCAAGGAATCAAAGCCAGGTGGAGCTTATGAGCAGGGCTCTGCCTGGAATTCAGGTGGTTTCCCAAATTGCATGCCCTGTTCAGGCCAAAAGAAAGTACAAAAACAGTAAGGAATTTAACTTTTGTCAAATTGTGTCTTTCCCAACTCTTGTTAGAGACTCTCCACGTGATGGAGAGAGTCACTTAGATACATTCAAGTACAGCAAACAGAGAAGGGAGGATAAAGTTACAGAGAGAACATAACAGAGAAGCAGAAATATCAGCTAAACACTTGTCTAAACAAGACTGGGGAGTAGGATGGGAGGAAGGAAAAAAGAATTCCCAAGGCTCAGAGGAAGGGAGACTTCTGAGAGGAAAATGTTTTCTGATTGCTGCTATAAACAACAGTGACAAGCTCAAATCACTGTCACTGCAGGCCATGTGGAGTCCTGTGATCCTGGAACAGCCCTCTGATGTGTTGTCATGGGAATATTGCAGAGAACATGCTGGTGAATCCCTTCCAAAAACAAATCCTGCCTGGATTTGATCACTCACAAGCACTCCTCTGCTGAATGTACACAAGCAAAGGACAATCCAGATCTATCTGCCACACCTGCCATGTCAAATGGGGACTTTTGACAGTCAGTGACACAGCAACAGAGGTAAATAAAAAATCTGGGATTACTCAGGCCTGAAGTACTGAACTCTAAATAGCAGAGAGCTACTGGGTTTTCCTGTACTCTGCACACTGCCCAGGCTGTGCCATGGGAGCACCTAAATCCCCTTCCTCTGCCAAACAGCTGAACTATGGGAGTCAGCCTCACAGGAATTTGTTAAAAATCAGATTTCCATCATAATCTTTTACAGATTATCAGAAAACAAAGTTGAAGGGAAGAGGACAGATGTTAGAGGTCAGATTGGGGGCTTAACTTGGCAAATCAGACAGCTCTGGTGAGGCACCAGTGCATGAAGGAATTTCTCCACCTGGCTTCACCACTGCCACAGAACAAAGCCCTGAACAGGCAACGTTGCAATAAGGCAGAAAAATCATAAAGAAAGGCTTCATAAAATCAAGACTGCTCTGTTAAAATCAATGGCTGGCCTTGTCAAAACTAATACTTTGCCATTTCCCATGTGATAGCAATCCTGGTGCGAGCAGTCATTAATAACAATCTATTCCTGGGTGAAAAATAACTAGAACCTGTATAAACTGTTTTTACACCGTTAGAAAAATGAAAACTATCTCTCACAAACAACTTTTCCTGCACATACACCCTGGGGGTTTGAGTGACCAATCAATACAGAGTAACAATTTGTTACTAACCCATAAAGGTAACTGGCAAGAAAGCTACTGACCAATTGGAGTCACACCTGAGGTCTGAAAAACTGTATAAAAAGGAGTTATGTGAATAAAGAATGGGCTTTTTTCACTGTGAAGAAAATGGAGTCTGTGTGATTTATTCCCATAGCCAGCAGTGCAGATACCTTTGGGTGTGTCCAGCCCCAGTCCTGCTCTAGTCAGAAGTATTAATTGGGTCAGAGGGAAAGGCTGCCTATATCCTGGAAGCAAGAGAAATGATCTGAGCTTTAAATCTCTGCTCCAGTACTCAGCTCAAAAGGAAACACAAGATTAAGGGAGATCCATACCAAAATGCCCAATGTCCTGGTAATCTCGTGATCCACCAAATCAGGATATACTGCAAAGAAATCCCAGGGAACACTCTTCTGCACTGCAGGCCTGTGGCTTGCTCCCATTAGCTGCTTTGCCTCTGTCCATCTTTGGAAATTATTTATGTAGAGAACCTATTAGTTTAAAGCTAGGCAGGAACTAAGCAGCAGTTCAGAGGGTGCCAGTGACCCCAAAAGGCTGGATTTTGTCAGGTAGTACCTGGCTGCCCCTTTATTTGTAAAATACTGACATTAAAGAGCACAGCACAATGCCCTGAGGATAATTATGGACAAGGAGAATCTCCTCAGGATAATGAAAGCCCAGTGTGTGTAGACATAAAGTGTCCTGCCAGCTTAATAATACTGAGATTCATGAGATCATAAGCAAAATACTCTCCAGTGACTTCCTGAAGGAACGGTGCTGCCAGACCTTTACCTTTTGCTGGCATCTTCCTTTACAGGAGGTCCTTTTGTAAAGAGGTTTAGATCACTCAGGGCTCTTACAGTCTCCTTTGTGCTGCCAGTGCTCTTCTGCCTGTCCTGCTTCTCCTTCTTGGTCTCCAGCAAGTTTCGCAGCCGCCTTTGCTGTTGCTCCTGATAAGCCTTGAACTGGCTTTTGAAATCTTCATTCACTTTTACCTCTGGCTCCATTGTTTACTAAAAGCATAATGAGAGGAAAATAAAAAGTGACAGAGAGAAGAGATCAGCACTGCTTTGAAAAACATCTTCTGGCAGCTGCTGTGCAGCTTTTCCTGCCGACCTCTGCCCGGTCTCCCACCACCTCCTCCTCTCCAGCACTCTGCAAGTGCCTTTTTCCATAAATGGCTTTTAAACAGCCCTTAAAAATAAATTTAAAAAAAAGCTGTTGGGTCTTTTTCACTCCAGAATTCAAAAAGCAAAAGTTTCCAAATGTTCCTAAACAGACCTGTTTAAATAAACATTTTAACAGAGGAGCAGGCTGGAGCCAAAGCCAAGCCAACGTGGCAGCCAGGTCACACTGGAGATTTTGGGACAATCCAGCCTCCCTGCCCCTGTCCAGAAAAAGTGCAAATCCCCCCATTTTTGGGTTCATGAGAGAGAAAGAAAACTATTTTTTTCCTTATGCTCCCCTTGGGCAAGACAAAAGTGTGGCTTACACCTTTTCTGCAATCACTGAGTAATAACATATTCATTATTAGGTATATTTAATTACAACAATATATTATTAACAGATATTTTAAAATAATAATATTGTTACCCAAACATTTCTTAGGATAACTAAAGACAGTTTTCTGATAAATTGCAGCCCCTTTCTCCTTCTGTTTGACATTTATTGTGGGCAAAAAAACCCTATTGCACCTTTGGTCTAGGAAAACTAATACATACATACCTCCAAAGGCACACCCTGCACTGAGTAATTAACACAGGGCCTTTCCCACACAGAGGGAAATCCAATTATGCTGATTAATGCACCAAAAGGCAGTGTCCCTTTGTGTGTTTTATGGGCAGAGAGTCACCTGGACAAGGTGCAAAGAGCAGAATCTGGTGCCTCTGCACAGCCCACGGGGCTCTGGGCATCAGGGATCAAAGAGTTACTGAGTCAGTGAGGCTGGAAAATTAATTTTAATTGATTAAAGCTGATTCTGAGATTTAGAAAAAGCCTACAGAGATAAGGAGTCCATTTACTTAAGCAAACGGGATGTAAAATTTAGCTTTTCTGGTTTCAGTAACCTTTGGGTTGATAATTAAAGTTATAATTAGATTGGATCTCTTGATAGGTTTAGCTACTGACCTTAAAGATAGCAAAGATAAGCAAGAACATCTTCAAACAGTAGTTGTCTCTGCTCTGAAAATATCCTAGAATTCTTAGCAGAGTAACTATTTAAAGCTTCATGACTTTTCTCAGAATTTTCTTTACTTAAGCTGCATTGCTGATTAATTTATTATTTCATAACTTCTGGAGTTCTTTACTTCTCTGTAGGGCAGAAATGTGCAGGGCACTCAAGGTGCAGCTCCATCAAACAACGCTGCGATGGAAAATCCTGCTCAGATCCCCTGTCCAACCATTAACCCAGCACTGTCCCCAAGTGCCACATCCACGCGGGATTCGAACGCTTCCAGGCATGAAGGGCTCCACACTGAAATGTTCAACACTTCCAGTGGTGAAATATTCCCGAATATCTCCTCTGAACCATCCCCGGCTGCAGCCAGGGCTCACCTGGAGCAGGTGGCACAGGTGGCACCCAGGTGGCTTTGGGATGTCTTCCCTGCCCAGACCTTTCTAGAGCTCAGAGGAAAGAATTTTTCACCCATTTTGAGGCAGAATTTATATATTTTAATTGCAAGCGCGTAGCTGTAATTATCACCCTCCCGCTCGCCCTGTGACCTGCCGGGTCCCGGCAGCGCCGCCGCGCTGTTCCCCCATGGCGGGCACTGCTGCCCGCGCTTGCCGCACCTCCCCCGGCCTACCCGAGCGGCGTTCCCGAGGGCACCGGCAGGGTGTCCCGGGCTGTCCCCGTTCCCTGCGGGGCAGCGGCGGCAGCGGAGAGGCGGCCCCGGCTCCGGCTGCGGGCCCGCTGCGGTGCCCATGGCAACGGGAGCGCGCGCGCGCCCGTCCCCTCAGCGCCGCCGCCATGATGGCTCCCCCCTCACACCGCTCCCTGATCGCCATTCCCGCGATTCCCGCACCGATCCCGGCCCCTCGGCTCCTTCTCCCACCTTCACGGTGGTAGGCACAGGAAAAAGTGCCGGCGCCCTTTCCCATGTGTGCGGGAGCAGGCAAAGGTGATAGCAGCTGGGAGTCAAGAACACCGGCTGGGAATTCCCTTTTCACTAGCGCTACACTCTCCTCAGGGCATTTTTATTCTATTCACGCCATCCCAATGCTACACCATGGGAGCTTCCCCCAACAAATCCATAAGCGAACAGTTATTACCTCCACTGCTGACTTTTATTATGTTTAACCTCCCCCTGCTCTGTACAACAGGTCACAGAGAGGGAGGTGCAGTTTGTACCTTGTATGGGTAACCCTGAGGCTGTCACCATGGAATGTCAGCTGACAGGAAAATATGTGCTTTTTTAGAAATTGGCTTTTATTTTATGACTGCTGTTGGAAGTACAAGGAGTTTGAGAGTAAAATAACTTAAAGACAAGGATTTTAATACCTCAAAGGTGATGGGCGGCTTTTCACATTTAAATGTTTTAAAATTCTCTGTGGGGAACAGTACTGCAGAAATCAGCCAGATCATACACTTTAAAAGCATTAAACCACCAAATTAAAGTTTAGTTTTCACAATCTGTATTTTAAATGTTACATTTAGATGTTACTCAGAAGAACACTGTAAATAAAGCTACAAAATATCATAATCCAAGGGTCTGATACTGCAAAAATAAGGAGCCTGTGTCTTCATTAACAATGAATAAATATAACATTTAAATAGCTGTGACATACTTATCTCTATGCTTTAAATAAAAAAATATACATGTTTATATAGCTCTCAGTATTTTAGAAGTCATTTAGTGCTACTGGAAGCTTCTAAATTACAAAGTTGGAGGCAGAGGATAGAAAATGGCAGCAAGGTGTTCCTGACATTCCCTGACAGAAGCCAGTTCAGACATCATGGTTTTGGGCAACAACAGCAGAAAAGTCCCCAGTTTTAGGACTGAGTTTAAGGGGAAGATAGAGGGATTGCACTCCACGATATCCCTTAAAAACTGGGATGTGGTGGTGTCAATCAGAGAGACCCAGACCCCAATAGGTGCTCCCCCAGGTCACATTCTGAGGCTGCCAGGTTCAGCACAGTGTACCATACACAAAATAGAACAATTCTCTAATGCCATGTATTATTTGTTTTCCTCTAGAAACCCTCAGTAGGTTTGGAGCTGCAGTACACAGGCCACCACCAGGACAGGGATTTCAGACTGCTTCCCACTATTCCTTGGGCTTCACCACATACTCCTGGAACATGGAATACAGCACCCCTGCAAGACAGAAAAAAAAAAAAGCACAATTAAAGAACTGTGTTAAATTAGAAATAGTTGGTTTCAAAATCTCAACAGTTCTCAGCAAGACAGAATTTCCCTTCCTCCTCAGCTACATTTTTTTAATAAACGCTACAAAATTTTTCATGTACAGAGAAGCCAGGTGTGAAAAGATAGAATTTATGAAAATGCAGATCCTGAGCTAATTCTAGTTGATTTTGTGGCCAAAGTCAAGCTTTTCTGATGTTCCTGCTGGGAATGCAGTATGGACAAACAGTGTTTCATGGGATGTACATTTACACACAGAGGAGACCTGAGATGTACAGATCAGGGGCACAGTGTCCCTGTATATTCAGAGACACATTCAATCCTGAAAATATATATATACATATAAATATATATATAAAAATATGTAATACCATGGTCTGCACATGCTGTAGATATTCCAGTGCATTAAATTCAGAAACAGCAACATATTTAATGTCAGATGAATGTTTTCTTTTTTTGGCCTGTAAGAGGCAGAGATGCAGAACCTCACATTCCACATCCAGACATAATCAAAACTACTCTGAAATTAAACACTTCAGTACATAAAATCAGATTACTCCAGAAAGGCTGACTGAGCACCAGTAAGGAGCACAAACATCCTGAAATAAATGTCCTGGATGCTTCCAGGAGGCTCTCCATGGTTTGCCACTGCCAGCTCCCATTCCATACGTACCACACGTCAGGGCTCCCACGGCGAAGCCCTGCGCTGCCACACGCATGTGGATCAGGTGAAGGGACAGTTTCATGTCACCTCTGTGCTTCAGCTTGTAGAGCCCGTAGGCAACGACGGCGGTGAAGCCAGCCATCCCTGCAAGGCAACGAGAGCATCCCTCTGAGTGGAGATCCGGGGCAGCAGGAGGACTCAAGGGACCCACCTAAACAAAACAGCCTGTGAACCTCTGAGCTGCTCAGGTTGGAAAAGACCCTTAAGATCACCGAGTCCAACCAACTGCCAAGGCCACTGCTAAACCGTGTCCCCAAGTGTCACTTCTGTACAGTTTTTCAGTCCCTATGTGGATGGTGATTCAGCCCTTTCCTTGAAATTTTTCCTGATATCCAGTCTAAACCTCCCCTGGCACAACTTAAGCCTGTTTTGGTCTCTCTCATCACTCCGGTTTTGTGGAGTGGTAAATCCTAGCCCTGGTTTCACTCCAGTGCCACCTCATTCACTGCACACACCAGTGCAGGGAAGAGAAAGATTTCCACCAGCATTAAAACGCCAAAGGATTTTGGCATTACAGCTCAAGGTGTGAGAATTCCCTGGATGTTTTTCAGACAGAACCAGGGCTACTCACACGTCCTTTCCTGCACAGGCACTCACAGCCAAGACCCCCACCCAGCTGATGCTGACTCGCACAGTGTGTGGATGCTCCCTGATGTATCACTGGCCTGCTGCAGTTGTTATTTTGGGTGTTGTCACATTTGAACAGGTGCCACCAGGACAGGACAAGTCACATGTTACTGTCCCCAAGCTGTGAGGAGGGAGGCTCCACCAGGTCTCTTTCCCAGGGCCAGAATTCACTGATAGACCTTCAGCAGGGCAAACAGCCTCAGCTTTGCCAGTTTCAACACTGATGCTTTCACAGAATGCACAGAGAAATGCACAACCTTTCCCAATTCCATCTATTTCATTCCATTTTTAGGATTATTTGCACAGTTCATAGGTGCATGCCAAGTTTTAAGTGCTGTGTATATTTTACTGAGCAGAGCACGGGCAGTTTGTCTTCCTTGAGCCAGAGCATTACCAGTGCCACCAGAAAACCATAAACACTTAATTCACTCTCATTAAACACCAATTAACAGTTTTAGGGCCTTCAGTCCAGCTCTGACACAGGTCAAAGGTGAGTTCTGCCAATCTGCTTCGGGGAACTGGAACTCCTGGAGTTCATGGTACAGCAAGGTGGAGACAAAGTGCAGCGAGCACGGAAGCAGTGACGGAAATCTGCTGGCAAACGCTGGGAACAGCTCACCCCGAGCGACCCCGCTGCTCTCCATTTAAGGTGGCTGGAAATCAAAACGAGTCTTGTGGCACACAAAAGCTGATCCCTGCTCTCCTCACAAGCTTTTTGGGAGTCTCAACAGAGAGGCTGAGAACTTTAACAACTTCCTCAAGCTGGGTGTAACATAAAAGTTACTAAAAAAATGCATTTAAACTAAATGATGGCAGCAGAGGCCTGAAATGTTTACCAGACAGGCTGTCATTTAAATCCTTCTAGTTTGTATTTTGATAGCTTTTTAAGTCACTTTGTAGTGGTCACATAATTCCCAGGAACTGTGCTCCAGAACAGCTGCACAACTCACTCCTTAACCACTTGACAGCATCACCTTCCCATGTTTTCTAGCCTCACCTAAAAAGCCTTGGTTTTGTTTTGTCAGGGTTTGTTGGTTTGGAGATTTTTCTTATCCTTGTAGGTTCTGAGTTTTTTATTTAAGGCAATAGACCTCATTAATTTCCCTCTTTCTTTTAAACTGTTATGGGGAGGTAATTTCTATTTCCTGTTTACAGAAAAAAGGTGAACAGTGATGGTGTTTCCCACATCGATTGTGCAAACACATTTCTCCATTTTTGAACTCACCAATGGGCACAAACGGCGTCTCCTTAAATTTTTTTATCAGCTTCGAGGTCTGGCTGGTCTCTGTCTCATAGTCAGGGTAAACTGATTCCTGGCTGGGTGACATTGTGGCTGTGAAGACAAAGAACCTCCCTTCAGGTTTTGGAAACCCCAAATAAAGAGAATCTTTAGGGAAAGAAAGTCAGCAAATCCCTTGTGTATTCCATCAGTCACAAATATCCAGGCAGTGAGATACAAGAACAGGCACCATGGACAGATGGTTTAGTTCAAGTGAAGCCTTGGGAAGCACAACTGTGCTTACCAGGAGAGGCAAGAATGAAACAAAACAAAAAAAAAATAGGAGAGCAACAAATTTGTGCTATCCAGAGATGGCAGTGACCCCCTCATAGTCACAGGCAGCCACAGAAAGCTTTGGTCACTGCCTGCCTTTCCTTTTAGGAATTCCATGCCTCACCACTCCGCTTGGCTTTCGCAGGCTGGTCCTTTATAGCAGCTCTGACCTCAGCAAAGTTCACCTCTCCCCCCTCATTCCCTGCCAGGAGCAGCAGCCACAGCAGCTGGGTGGGGAAGCATGAGCTGCTGCACAAGGTCAGCCCTGCCTGGCAGCTCCTCAGTCACCACAGCCTATCCCACATCTCCAAAACTCCAAATTCCTGATGGAGAACACAGGGATGGCAAACAGCCACCGCCAAGGAGCTGCTGAGCAAGTCCTCAAGTTGTGCAGACTCGTGTGGGGTCACATCAGGAGGAGAAGTCATCCACAGGTGATTCCTCACCTTCCCCCAAGGAAAATAAAAAGCAGCAACAGCTTGAGAAGGGCTCCACTCACAGAACCATCATCATCACAGTGAGACCATCTGCCAGAACTTCCCAGCTTTTTGTGCTGGGAATTGCATCAGCAACAGCTTGAGAAGGGCTCCACTCACAGAACCATCATCATCACAGAGAGACCTCTCCAGAACTTCCCAGCTTTTTGTACTGGGAATTGCACGGATTACACCAAGACCTGTTCCCTCCTCAGTGCTTGGCATAAACACCACTCAATTAATGACAATTTCTGCCACTGACACCACAGAGGGCCCTGCTAGAAAAACCTCTACTGCTATTGTTCAGCTTTGCCACCGACAGCAAAACACAGCTCAGGGGCACTCAGAAAGGCTCCAAGCTCTCAGGATAAACCAAGAGGAATTTCATTAAGCAGGCGCCAGTAACCTTAGGCAGAAGGGACATTTCAAAGGTGGCCATGCTCCGTGGTTACACAGCATTTTGAGCGCACCCATGTGAGCAGACTGGCTGGTTCTCAAACCATTTCCTCTGCAAGGCAAAAGGATTTGGTCTCTCCACGCCTCCTACAACCACTCTCATTTGCTGAATGTAAATTATAATTTTAGCCTGACTCATTCAGAGAGGGTAACAAGAGCTCTCCATCACTCAGCATAGGAGGAGACAGCCAGAGGTGAGATTTACACAAGAAAATTATATTAAAAGTGAAACAATTCATCCACCACGGGAAGTTTCTGTGACCTTCAGCCAAAATGGGCACAGGGCAGAAGAAACTGGCTAAGACACAGGGCCCGGCTGCCCTGACCTTGCCCACAGCGAACAGGGAGGTCAGGGCACCTGTGTGACCGGTGTCACCCGCGGGGGAGGGACACTGAGGGCGGACCATGGGTGGGAAGGTGACAGGCCCCAGCATCCCTCCCTCCCGGCAAGGGGGAGGCCCTGGGTCCCCCCAGGCTGCCTTCCGCCTGCCCAGCTCCACGTGGGGATCCTTTCCCCCCTCCATGCCCAGGCCCCCGCACCCCACATGGGGACTCTTCCCCACTGCGGCCCCCGGCACCTTCACCGCACTCCGGCCTTCTGCCGCACGCCCCCACACGAGGCCTCTGCTCCACTCCCGCCCCAGTCACCTTCCCCCCACACGGGAGCCCTTCCTCGCCGCAGCCCCAGGCACCCGCCCCCCCTGCAGAGCCCGGGCTGTGTCCCCGGCGGTGCCCGGGTCCCGCCCGCCCCACACCCGGCTCTCACCGCGCTGCCCCGGTACCGGCCGGCGTCTGCCGCGCCCGGCCCCGCCCCTGCCTCTTATTGGCGCCTTCCGCCCCGCCCCTCCGCCGGGACCACAACTCCCGGCGTGCCCCGCGCCCGCGCCCTCGCCCACAGCCAATCCGAAGCGTGGCCGCGACCATCGCTTCCTTATACGGGCGAGGGGGCGGGGCGGGCGGTGACGTCAGCGCGAGGCGCTCCGCATTGCGGCGGGAAGGCGGTGGCGCGGGGCGGCCGGCAGGGAGCGCTGTGGGGCCCAGCCCGGCCTCAGTCCCCCCTTCAGCCCAGGCCTCAGTCATTCCCGGCCTCAGTCATTCCCGGCCTCAGTCATTCCCGGCCTCAGCCCCGGCCTCAGTCAGCCCCGGCCTCAGTCATTCCCGGCCTCAGCCCCGGGCTCATTCCCGGCCTCAGCCCCGGTGTCATTCCCGGCCTCAGCCCCGGCCTCAGTCATTCCCGGCCTCAGCCCCGGGCTCAGTCAGTCCCGGCCTCAGTCCCGGCCTCATTCCCGGCCTCATTCCCTGGCTCATTCCCGACCTCAGTCCCGGGCTCTTTCCCGGCCTCAGTCCCGGGCTGTGCTTCGCGGTACCGGGAGCCGGGCGCCCCGGCCTCAGTCATTCCCGGCCTCAGTCCCGGCCTCATTCCCTGGCTCATTCCCAACCTCAGTCCCGGGCTGTGCTTCGCAGTACCGGGAGCCGGGTGGGGGCTCGGACTCTGGTTTAGCCCCAAAACCAGCAAAACAGCGGGTCTGCACGGTGCAAAAATGACTACTGGTGGTTCTGTGGCTTGTCTGCTTTTCGCGTCATAAAGTTCCCGTGTTGTCACGCTGTGATGTGGAGGGAGACGGAGAGAGACTGTTGGCAACAGCGTGGAGTGACAGGACAAGGGCGAGAGTTTTAAAGGAAAAGGGAAGCGCTTTAGTTTAGATATTGGAAAGAAATTGTTCCCTGGGAGGTGGTGCGGCCCTGGCACAGGGTGCCCAGAGCAGCTGTGGCTGCCCCTGGATCCCTGGAAGTGCCCAAGGCCAGGCTGGACATTGGGGCTTGGAGCAGCCTGGCATGGCGGAGGTGTCCCTGCCACCCGAGGCCAGGCTGGACGGGGCTTGGAGCAGCCTGGCATGGTAGAGGTGTCCCTGCCATGGCAGCGGATGGGATTGTACGGCAAATCCCTCTGGGAAAAGCCAGAGTCCATAAAGGAGCCAGAGGACCCTGCAGCTTGACTCAGGTGAAGGCAGAGAGCCCTGGGCACATCCCCGCGGGGTTTTCTCTCTCTCGAGGTTCCGGAGGGCGCAGCCTCCTTTTATCCCAAACTCCGGCCCTCGGTGCCTCTCCCTTCCCCCGCTGGCCGAAGGTGCAGCCTTCCCGAACCGCCTGCCACAGATCCCCCCTGAGCAGGTCATTTACCCCAAAGTTTAGAAACTCAGGGTTGTGCGGCCCCATTTGGCTGTTTCAGCAGCCAAGCTGCCCGGGCTCTGTACAAACTCTCTGCTTGAAAAGTTGGTAGAGACATTAAACACCATTTGAAAGCCTTTAACAGCCATCCCCTCACCTGTGGAATTGTTTGTAAAGACATCATCACACATCTTCCCTTTTAGATGAGATGGTTTTTAAGGTCCTTTCCAACCTAGACACTGTGGGAATCCTTAAAATCAGAGGGTTTTGGGAAAGCTGCAAAAGGCAAGCCTCAGAGGCAGTAGAACTGTGATTAGAGCCAAGCAGCAGCCATAAGATTTGTCAGCAGAAAAATTATATGAGAAGTAGAAAATAAGGACAAATAGAACAATAGTCTGTGTATTAACACTTACCTAAAATAACTCCTAAAGCTACAAAAAAGTATATCTACTGATATTATAGTATATCTAGAGATACATAGTATCTACTACAATAGTATATCTAGAGATATGAAGAAGTTCTAAGCTTAATAATGGAGCTCTGTACATTGTATCTCAAAGCTTACAAGCAGGTATTGTATCCAAAATAAGCAAGCATTGTTTAACCAAAGGTACGTGTGCTTACAGTAGATAGATAGAACTACTGTCAGTATGCTTTTACTTTGTGTAATTAGTCAAAAAACTTTTAAAGTGAGTTATAACATTAAGTTCTTTGTCTGTTGCCAGGGATGTGAGCTGCTGGCATCTTCCCATTGCCATGACTTTGTAATGAGACTGATGCTGGAAAATTCCTCAGCATCCCGTTTGTGATTTGTACATAAACCCTCAACCAGCAACAAACACTTCTGAGATTCTGTGAAATTTGGGCTCTTGCTTAGTCCTTTGCTGAAGAGCTTCCACCTGATGGCAGAGTCATGGAATGGTTTGGGTTGGAAAGGACCTTAAAGTTCATCCTGTTCCACCTCCTGCCATGGGCAGGGACACCTTCCACCAGGTCAGGTTGCTCCAAGCCCCATCCAGCTTGGAACACTTCCAGGAGTGGCACAGCCACAGCTTCTCTGGCTTTCCCTCAGCCTGATTGTCCTGCTGCTGAGTTATGACATTGACTATGTTTTCTTATATTTCAGCTTTCAAGCAGATCTCGTTTTACCCCCACTCTGTGCCAGGATTTTGATGCCCAAAGACAGCCTAGAAATTGCTCCTGACTTAGACCGTATTCTGGAAGAGAAAGAAGAATCCACTGGGATCCCAAAGATGCCTAAAATCTTCTCCTAAACCTGAGAACATCTTGTCAGAGAAAACCACAAAGATAAATTCATTTGTCCCCAAGCCCAGTGCTCCTGTGTGGTGTTTGTTTCCCCCATCTCTGAGCTGGGGGAAGGCAGAGCTGCTGCTCCTGCAGGGTCACTCTGTGGCACTCATGTGGCATTTTGGGCAGCACAGAATAAAGTGGCTCAGACAAGCCTGCATCTGTCTAAATGTGCTGCCCATTACCCCTAATCTGGTTACTTTAATTGCCAAAGCCATTAGGGCCCTGCAGGCTGAAAGGAAACAAAAAATCGATGCAATTACCAGCCCTGAAATTGAGTTAAAATCTTGTAATAAATTACAGTGAAGGCCACTTTCTCCAGTGACTCTCAGAGGCACATTTAATTCTCTGCTTCAGGGCAGAAACTCAATTAAAAACAAAAACTTATTTCATTTTAATTGCTGGCCTAATGAAACCTCTGTCACCTGCAGCTTCCTTGTGTGTGTCCAGTGTCTCAGCTCTATGAGTGGCTTCTTGCTCTCTGCTAATGTGTGTTGCACACATATTATAATAATATATATTTATTACAGGGTGTATTTTAAGTGCAGCAGCAGCTGATGGTGGCAAACATGGAAATGGGCAAAAATGAATAATTTCTCTCTGTGAATCTCTGTGGATGTGGAGCTGTGGCCATCTGCTGTTCTGCTCTCCTGTTTTTACCAGGGTGGTTTGGGGTGAATAAATGCCCTGGGATTGGCACAGGGGAAGCCTTGGCACATCCAGGGTGTTCCCATGGCCCCGTTTGTTGGTGAGATGAGGAAACAAGCAGGAGAGTGACCACTCACCCATGCTGATGCCCAAAAACTGCTCCAATAAACCACTTCATCAGAAGCAGTTTTGGCAGAGGCCATTTCTGGTCTGGCAGGGGATGAGGATCCTGCAGCATCAGATTTCCTGAAAAACACAAGGATTTTTTACAGCAGGGGCTCAGCTGTGGGAGGTGTTGTAGATGTTGTGTTCAAATACAGGGTGGAGATCATTCTTCCAGAGCTGCCAGGGAATGATGAAAAGCAGGAAAACAAGACAAAACCAGGGAGGTTATGCTGAGTTCACATTTCCTGACTGTCCTCTTACACAAACGAAAGAAGTTCCTAAAAGCCTGGTTCAAACCTCTGGCGGGATGGAAAGAGAAGAAGCTCCTGTAAGTGCCTTTTCTGCTTCTTACTTGTAGACAAAGCCTCACAAGAAACCAGGCAAGGCTCTCTTTTGTTTTTGAAAGGTAGCCAGCGTGGGGCTGGGATTAATTCCTGAGCTCAGCCCTCCCTTCCACTCTGAGGTATGGGATGGGGATGTGGACACCAGAGCCAGGCTGATGTGGAGGGAGAAGGATGTGGCAGAGGGAGAAAAGGCATCTCAGTGGGCTGGAAGAGACCCAAATGCAAATTTTGGGAATAGTTTGTCCTGGTGTGGGCAGAGGGGGTGTGAAGGGGAAGGTGTTTATGAGTCTCGGATGTTGCTGTGATCAGCAGGGTGTGCAGCTTTGGTTTCCTCTCAAAGGCCTGCAGGGTGAATTTCCTCCAAAATATGATACAGAAAAGAAATTTTAAAAAGCTCATTCCCAGACAAGTCTTTTTGTGGCACTTTTCCATGGCAGATCCCTGCTCTCCCACTGCTCTGTCTGTAGTGCTCTGCAGCACATGCCAAAGAACTGTGAGACAGCACGAAAACATTTCAGTCCAGCTCAAACCCATTTTTCTTTTCAGCTGCCTGGAACTGCCTGGAATGGGTATTTGAGCAATTTCAGTGCTGGGACCACAGCAGGTACGTCCAGAGCTTCACTCTTTACAGCTGCACACCCACTCTGAGCCTGTGGGGTGGAGGGGCACCCCTTTCCCTGGGTGTTTGTGGGGAGGGGGCCATCCCTAAAACCTGCAGATCCACCATGGGATATACCCTCACTGGGATGCACAGCACAGCCAGGGACCAACAGCTTCATTTCTGAGTGGCTGCAGAACTCTGCAGGGACAAACAGATCCTTGAGGAGAGACTGGATCTACACAGCCAGGCCTGTTTGGGATTGCTGGAAAATAAACCTCAGGGAAAAGATGAGTAGCTTTGGCCATGGCTGAAAAAATGTCTGCTTTAGGGGTGGGGGGTGTTTACATAATTTTTTTCCAAAACTGTTTTTTGTTTTGCTGCCAAAAGATTAACCTTGATTTATAAACTCCTCATTAACCTTCAAAGTCCTAACAGCACCAGGCAAATTCCATCTCCTACTGTTTGAAATGGGCTCCTCAGTGGCAGCTTTTTTCCTTGAAAATCAGATCCCAAAAGTAGGAGACTCCCAATCACTCACCATTTCCTGAAATCTGGGCTGCAGCCATCTAAACAGTGACGCCCACAGTTCCAGGGAGTGACCACTGCAGGGGTTGTCACATGCCTTGTCTCATGCAGAAGTGATTCCAGCAATGTTCTTCCAGCTGAATCTCTCCCTCTCACCATAATTCAGGACTGGATTCTGGTGCCTCCATGTCCTTACCTTGGATGAGTCTTTGAGCAGCCTGGGATAATGGAAGGTGTCCCTGCCCAGGGCAGGAGGGTTGGAACAAGATGTTCTTCAAGGTTCCTTTCAACCCAAACCACTCTGGGATCCTATGAATTCCATATTTTCCACTTAATAATGCCTTTTACCAGAATCCATGTCTTTTTGTCCTAGAGTAGGCATGGAGAAGGGTCTGTGTCCTTCCAGGAGCAGGGAGATGTTCAGCATTTCCCTCTGGGAACAGCTCCACTGACATAAAGGTGCTGTTGGCAGGTTCTTCTTTAGCAAGAATTGAGATGTTGCTTTCTCAGTAGTGACCCCGGTGAATATAAGCAGCTCACAGTGAGCTGTGGTGGTGGATTTCCTGTAATTTGGAGCAGAAACTTCACTAAAACCTTGTGGTGGTGCCAGGAGGAAGTAGTGACTTTTGTAAGAGGAAACCATGCTCATTCATTTTTAAGTTTGATGTGTCTGAGTAAGGAAAGCAGAATTAATTTTGGGTTTTTGTTTCGTTTTTGTTTTTTGGTTTTTTGTGTTTTTTTTGGTTTTTTTTATATGTACAAGTAGACAGCTATCCCCGTGCTTAGGCAAAGGCCAAGTTATTCAGGACACAAAATACTCACCAGACAGTGGCAGAAATTTAAACCCATGAAATTCCAGTACCTGAAGGGAGCCTAAAAGAAAGACAAAGAGGAGCTTTTTACAGGAGCATGGAGTGACAGGACAAGGGGGAATGGCTTCCAACTGAAAGAGGGTGGGTTTGGGCCAGATATTAGGAGGAAGTTCTTTGCTGTGAGACCCTGGCACGGGCTGTCCAGAGAAGCTGCAGCTGTCCCTGGATCCCTGGAAGTGCCCAAGGCCAGGTTGCACAGGGCTTGGAGCAACCTGGGATAGTGGAAGATGTCTCTGCCCATGGCAGGGGTTGGAATGAGATGATCTTGAAGGTCTCTTCCAGCCCAAACCATTCTGTGATTCTATCAACTAAACATCTCTGTGTTTCAGAGATGTGTTTCACATTCACTCTGTGATGTGCTGTTTGCTTCCTGTGTGAATTGGAACAACACTTTGATCCCTTTTCCTTGCTCCTAGGCAGCCCCTGGTCAAATACAACCTTAGGAGTGACAGCAACAACCACAGACACGTGGCTGGATGCTGCAAATTTGAGTGAGTACCCATACGAGTACCTGGATGAGGAGGATTATGGGGTCTATGGCCTCTGCACCAAAGAGGAAGTGCTGTCCTTCAGCAGGGTGTTCTTGCCATCATTTTACACCGTGATCTTCCTCGTTGGAATGGCTGGGAATGCCCTCCTGTTTACTGTCCTCCTCATGTACATCAAGAAGAAAAAGAAGATGACTGAGCTGTATCTGCTGAACCTGGTGGTTTCAGACTTCTTCCTGCTACTGACCCTTCCTTTCTGGGCTCTGTACATTTCTCAGTGGGTCACCTGGGACATCTTGTGCTCATTCTTAAATGCCATGTACACTCTGAACTTCTACAGTGGCATCTTCTTTGTGAGCTGCATGAGCCTGGACATGTATCTGCAGATAGTTCATGCTTGGTCTCCTCATAGCTCCACAGTGTGGAGGAATTCCATCCTCATCTTGTTGGTTATGTGGATGCTTTCCATAGCTCTCTCCATTCCTGATGGCCTTTTCACCAGCACAAGGCAAATTCACAACAAAACCATCATGTGCACCCAGGATTATGGCCAGGAACACTTATTTTGGAAAGTTGTCTTTCGGGTGATCCAAAACATCCTGGGATTCCTTTTCCCCTTCCTCTTCATGACCTTCTGCTACTCCCGCATCGCGTGTGTGCTCAACACCTCCCAGATACCTGGCTCCAGGAGAGCTCTCTGCTTAGTCTTTACTCTGGTGGGGGTCTTCTTTGTGCTGTGGTGTCCTTACAACGTTGTGCTCATCCTCCACTCCCTGCAAGATGTCGGTGTGATCAGGAGCTGTGAAAGCAGTAGGAAACTGGACTATGCCCTGCAGATCACGGAGAGCTTGTCCTTTGTCCACTGCTGCCTCAACCCCTTGCTCTATGCTTTTGTGAAGAAACGGTTCAGGGCATATTTGTGCAAGATCCCTCAGGTCATTTTCAGGAGAGGAGCTTTCTTTTCCATCCAGGACTCCCAGACGAGCCCGTCTTGCAGCAGATATGCAGCTGAGATAGAAATGTTGAGCCTCACAAATGCATCATAAATATTTATAATATTTACAATATTTACAATATTTACAATAATTAAAATATTTACATTATTTACATTATGCGTGAGCCCTCTGTCCTGCCCATGATGGAGTTGGTGTGTGAGCCCACAGCACTGTGTAACCAGGTAGTTCATCCTAGCAACAACCTTGAGATGAGGACTTTCCATACTGGGATTGGAAAAGTACATGTGTGTCGCCCTGATTTTTAAAGTTTTTCTAAGCCTTCTGATGTTTACATTCTTGTAACGAACTTTCTCACACACTTTATCTAAATAACTTACTGTTTTGCATTCTTTTATAGAAGAAGAGAAATTTAATAGACTGTTGGTTTGTCCAGTGTCATTGGAGAGGTGGCACTGTCACCCTCCAATCCACTGTCATTTTTGGAAATCTATAAATGTTAGAGTCAGAAATTAAAAATGCCTTTTCTTACATTGGAAAAGCTGCGTGTCTGCGTTGTGTTATTTCGTGTCCTATAGTGACACATGTGGGATCTGTTTCTGTTGCAAGTGGAATTATTGTGAAAGAATTGTCCTGGATTTACACCAGTGGAAGAAACCCAGTTTCCATCTGGAGTATGTGAGACAGTAGCAAACAGAGGATCAGATTTCTCAATGTTGTGCCTTAAAAAATGCAAACTAAAACTTGAGGAGAGATTCTCCTCCTCCCTGGCACGGGCTTTCCATGGATGGAGTTCCAAGCTCATTCATCAGTCCAGAAAGACTGCCAGGGGATGTGTTCTATTTTCTGAGTCTCCTGATGAAGGCGAGGAAATGAAGGAATCTGACTCCATGTTCTTAGAAGGCTAAGTTATTATTTTATGATTTTATATTATATTAAGGATTGCAATACTAAAACTATACTAAACTGTACTAAAGAATACAGAAAGGATACAGACAGAAGGCTAAAAGATACTAATGAAAAGTTTGTGACTTTCTCCAGAGCCCTGACACAGCTGGATGGTGATTGATTATAAGTAAAAACAATTCACATTAAACTAATAAAACATGCACCTGTTGGTTAAAGAGTGTCCAAACTACATTTCAAAGCCGCAAAACACAGGAGAAGCAAATCAGATAATTATTGTTTTCATTTTTCTCTGAGGCTTCTCAGCTTCCCAGGAGATGAATCCTAGGCAAGGAGATTTATCCAGCAAATATGACAGTGACAGGGATGGCCTTGCTTCTCCTGGCTCTTACCATCTGCCAGATGATTTAAACGGGATAATCTTGTTTTCTACCAGGAGATACAACAGGAAGGACCGGACATCTTTAAGCTGAGTTGTTCTCTGTCATGATGAGCTGTGCCACACGGACCTGCTGAGCAGGGAACTGTGGCTCTTCAAGGGGCGGAGCCTTGGTTAGAGATCAGTTTGATCATCAGCTGATTTGAGAGAGTTTGAGCAGAACAAAGTCCAGACCAGTAACAATCAGTGAGAAATGTGCCACACGGACCTGCTGAGCAGGGAACTGTGGCTCTTCAAGGGGCGGAGCCTTGGTTAGAGATCAGTTTGATCATCAGCTGATTTGAGACAGTTTGAGCAAAGTCCAGACCAGTAACAATCAGTAAGAAGGAGATAAAAAGGGGGCTCAGCAGAACAGTGATGAAGGTATTTGCCTTCCAAGATCCAGTTTTACAAGATAAAAAAGATCCATGGGTACCACCTGTAACATAAATATTGACTTTGAAACACAACAGAGTGAGAGCATGTCCTGAACAGAAGAGCACAGAGAGCTGATGGTCAATCCTTACTACCCAGTGCAGCTTTGAAGTTCAAGGTTCTGAGTTTGCTGACTTTTATTTAAAGGCATTATTCACCCCAAATGCTCCTGAACCTTAAATGGTCCCTTTCCATCCTGAAAACCTATTAAGTCTGGAAGTTGCCTGGAGTTGTACAAATAAAATTATTAATTTAAGAGAAATCACTCATCACATTTATTTTATTACTACATAAGGTTACATGAATGAGAAGGGCTTTGATTTGATCACTGCTGTTATTTTTCTTCCCAATATTGCTACAGTGTTTTTCCAAAATTTTAAGGTTGGGAGCTTTCCTTAAAAAAACAAAGCCAGAATAAATATTTAGCTGATGCTATGGTGTGGCCTTCACTCCTCGGGTCAGGTCACTGCGGAATGTGGAAAGGGAGAGCAGCTGGGAAGCTAAAAAGATGAAAATTGTGATCCCAGACAGAGGAAGGCTCTTGGGACTGTGGAAAACATTATGGGATGCTCTAGGGAAGAGCAAAGGTGAGGAATAGAGGGGAGTTAATGTCACTCTCCATCCTGCACGAGTGGCTGGAGCAGGCTGTGGTGGCAGTCTGGGTAGATCAGGGTGGCAGCACCCAGAGGAGCAGTGCCAGGTGGGACAAGGGGTCCTGACATTGTCCCCAAACCCCATCTGGGACAGGTAACAGGGGAGTTTGAGAAGCAGAAGGAAAAGTGGGTAAAGCAGAAGAGCTGTGGTCCCTGTGGGCACTGCTCCCCAGCCAGGGGCTGGATGGAGCATCTGGAAACTCTGGATCCTCTGGTGCCAAGCAAATGCAGTGGCTCAAGCTCTCCTCACTCGTGGGGCAGCTCAGCTGCTTTGCTTTGCACTCAGAGCAGTAGCACTTGCACTGTTCAGTGGCAAAGCATTGTCCCAGCACTGCTGGGACACCATGTGCTGTGGAGAACACCAAAATATCAGAGACTTTTCCTTCTCTTTGCTTTTGAGACCAAATCAGCTCAGCTGTGACCCCCTTCCCTCAGTCCTGTGCTCATTTCCAGTAGCATTTCCAAAATATACTCTTGGGGGAGTTTGAGAAGCAGAAGGAAAAGTGGGTAAAGTAGAAGAGCTCTGGTCCCTGTGGGCACTGCTCCCCAGCCAGGGGCTGGATGGAGCATCTGGAAACTCTGGATCCTCTGGTGCCAAGCAAATGCAGTGGCTCAAGCTCTCCTCACTCGTGGGGCAGCTCAGCTGCTTTGCTTTGCACTCAGAGCAGTAGCACTTGCACTGTTCAGTGGCAAAGCATTGTCCCAGCACTGCTGGGACACCATGTGCTGTGGAGAACACCAAAATATCAGAGACTTTTCCTTCTCTTTGCTTTTGAGACCAAATCAGCTCAGCTGTGACCCCCTCCCTCCATCCCGTGCTCATTTCCAGTAGCATTTCCAACATCCATTCTTGTTTCATTTTTTCAGTGGGTGTCCATAGCCTGGTCTTAAAGGCAGAAATCACAGAGTGGGATTCTCTGAACATTTTCCTTACAAAATCCAGGCTCCATACAACCTAGAGAAGGGAATTTGCCTCATGCCAAAACCCGTCCCCCTAACGCAGCATGGATACTCCAACAGGATTCCAACATGCCTTCCACCTTAAAAATCTCTGTTCATCCAGGGACAAGTTCACCCCGGAGCAGAGCACTCTGCAGGGGCAAGGCAAACACTCACAGCCAATGAGGACAGAGGCTGTCAGCTCTGCATCTGCCTGCCAGCTGCTGGGTGGGGATAAAATCCACATTCCCAGCCCAACCTGCCTCTAATCCCAGCTCCTGGACGGGCACAGAGCTCTCATGGTGCTCTGGGTGGTTCTCCTCTGTACCGTGGTGTCATCACTGCTTGGTGGGCTCTATGTCCTGGGTGTGTTCCGGAGACAGAGACCCAACGAGCCGCCCCTGGACAAAGGTACCGTTCCCTGGCTGGGCTATCTGCTGGAATTCAGAAAGAACAGCTCAGAGTTTCTCAAAAGGATGCAGAGCAAACATGGGGATGTTTTCACGGTGCTGATCGGTGGTTATTACTTCACCTTTGTGATGGATCCGTTCTCCTTTGGCACCATTGTGAAGGAATCGCGATCCAAACTGGACTTCAGGACTAGTGCGACTCAGCTGGTGGTGCAGGTTTTTGGCTACAAGCCCATCGAAGCCACTCATAACATAGTTCATACATCAAGCACAAAGCACCTGATGGGAGATGGCCTCACTGTCCTCACACAAGCCACCATGGAGAGCTTTCGGAAGCTGCTGCTTTTCAACCTGAGCTCAGGAGAGAAGAGAGTGTGGCAGGAGGAAAACCTCTTCCACTACTGCTACAACATTGTCTTCAGAGCTGGGTATCTGGCTCTGTATGGCACCGAGCCACCCCGAGGGGCAGGGAACAAGGAAAAAGCGGAAGAGCAGGATCGCCTCCACTCCAACCAGCTCTTCCAGGAGTTTCGTAAGTACGACCGCCTCTTCCCTCGCCTGGCCTTTGCTCTGCTGCCTCCCAAGGACAAAAGAGAGGCTGAGCGGCTGAAGAGACACTTCTGGAACATGCTGTCTGTGAAGAAGGTCTGGCAGAAGGACAATATCAGTGGCTGGATAAGTGATCAAGAGAAACTTCTGGCAGAAAACGGTGTCCCCGAGTACATGCGGGAGCGTTTCATGTTCATGCTCCTCTGGGCATCCCAAGGCAACACGGGCCCCACTGCCTTCTGGCTCCTCTTGTATCTGCTGAAGCACCCAGAGGCTCTGAAGGCTGTGAGAGATGAGGTGGATAAAGTCTTGAGGGAGAGTGGGCAGGAAGTAAAGGCAGGGAGCCCCCCAGTTACTGTCACTAGGGACATGCTGAACCAGACTCCTCTGCTGGACAGTGCTCTGGAGGAGACCCTGAGGCTGGTGGCAGCCCCAATGCTGGTCAGAGCTGTCCTCGAGGACACCTCCCTGAGGACAAGCAGTGGGACAGAGTTCACCCTCCGCAGGGGGGACAGGGTGGCTCTGTTCCCACACATCTCTGTGCAGATGAACCCAGAAATCCACGAGGAGCCTGACAAATTTAAGTACGACCGTTTTGTAAACCCAGACGGCACCAGGAAAGATTTCTACAGAAACGGGAAGAAGCTGAAATTTGTCAGCATGCCTTGGGGAGCAGGAGTTTCCACCTGCCCTGGGCGCTTCTTTGCTACTGCAGAAATGAAATTGTTTGTGTTCTTGATGCTGAGTCACTTTGAGCTGGAGCTGGTCCATGAGGAGGAGGAGATCCCAGCCATAGACATCAGCCGCTGGGGATTCGGGACAATGCAGCCCGTCCGCGACGTTCGCTTCAGATACCGGCCGTGCTTCTAACCTGGGGAGCCCTGTGGTGTTGTTTGTTCTGGTGTCAGCTGTGGGACAAATTGTCTGATCCCGTGGTTATCAGATCTGTGCAGTGTCAGCACTGATATGATCTTGTTTGCCTAATGTTTGTCGTGGCTTTTGTTGTTGCCTCCTCCTCGTGTGCTGCTGCTGCGTTGGTTATGGGATAGAGGTTAATCTGCACAGAGAGACAAAATGTGCCCTGCCAGGCTACTCCCAGCACCATCCC